CGTAGGCCATTGCGTTTCAAAGACTTTGTGTAAGAAAGGGAGATGTAATATGTATTGTATTAAAATGTTAAAATGTAAAATATTAGTGAGTCCGCCAGGTGGCGATCGTTGCTGATGCATCACGGGAACGGTACTGAGCGCTCACTTTGGTTGTAACCTCGAGACAATAAACATAACAGACTTATCAAACATTCCTGTATGATAAGTCCTTAAATTATCAATGTACTACATGATTTAGAAATATTAATATTTAGTGCTACCTTACAAGTCAAATGCATTAAGTATTCATTTACATAATATTAATTGTAATAACTTTTAAATTTTTTACAGAGTATAGACGTTGATGTTAAGCCACAAAGTCAAATGACACCAGCACTTATTATTTCTGGTCCACAAAGAATTCCAAAATGTGGTACATTTTCCCTTATTGGCCATTTCTCAAATTCTGGAGAGCAATGTTTTTACAGATGGAGAGTGTGGCGTTCTGATAGACAATATGTAAATTCTAAAATATCAGAAATAGTATCAAGTAAGAAAATATTTATATTTTGTCAAATGTATAAAAAATCCAACATTTTTTCAGTTTTAATCAACACATTCATAAGAGGTTATAGGCATCATAGAATATTGTTAATAAATGAAAAAATGATTCAATACATACATTTCATAATAATCTAAATCTTCAAATTAAACTAATAGGAAAAGTGTTAGATAAGAATAATGATTATATACAGTCGACCCCCCTATAACGCAGTAGATACATTCCGCTTTATAAGAATTTCGCGTTGTAGCAATCCTTAAATACATGAGCCAATCACAACCCGGCATGTGTGCAGTTTGCAGACTACGGCTGTTTGAAAGGTTTTCTTCCATAAAATTAATCGATTATAGACTAATTTGACTCAACATTTCCAAAACATGTATAATTTTTTGGGAATAATCCATATAAACTATGCTATAAACAAAAAATTGTAGGATTACTTACCGAGTGTTCACTGTTCAACAATGCCATTGCTTAATTAAGCTTGTTTTCATCGTGGAGCAGCGCACCAAATGCCGGGTGCATTTTCTGATAAGTTATTTTTCTGCAAAAAATTCATTGAACTTTGGAGACATCATTAATAGAAATAATTTTTATGGCCATTGAATAAGAAATGTTTTTTCACAAGAAATGTTTTTTCACAAGAAATGTATAAAATTACAGTACTGTATTAGACTTACAGTACTTAATTTAGGCCTATATACTGTACAGACGATAGTAAACTCAACTTACCTGCCTAAACTCTCCGTAGCGTGTAAGTAGTTCGGCTGCTCGTCCACTATTGATCCAGATTTCACCAATCCTGTCACGACATGAGTCGGCGATGACGTTTTACTGCATTTTACGAGTCTCTGTTAGCGTATTTATACGAATACGGTCGCAATTTTTTTGCCGTGATATACGAATCCACATTATATGAACCCGCGTTATAAGGTCTACTGTATATATAATCTCAAAATATTCATTTTTATAATTTATTTTTGTATAATTATGTGAGATTAGCAGTGGGCCACTGGGCTCATCCCAAATGACCACTTACTCAGCAACAGGTTGGTAAAACCTGTTCTCGGCTTGTCGGATGGCTAAGAGGGCAAAAATTTGAGTGGGGAGTGCATCGGTAAGTCGGCAGGTGTCCTTCAGAGACAGGAGACAGGTTTAAAAACTAAACAAGCATTTATTTATATAACTAAGCTAGGATACATAGATTAAATGCGATTAAATAAGTTCACTATACAAAAGGGACGTTCTAATAGCTTTACCTGCTAGTCTGAGAGAGAGTTCACAAAGCTCTAAAAAGTACAGATATCTCTATGCGGATATGTCTAATATGTGTTCTTTGAATATGTTCGTTAATGGCGATGGAAGTTCAAATGGCTGTAGTTGGTCGTATGTCCTTTCGTCCGGAGTATGGAGACAAATATGGCACATCTACCAAGTATAACTTCCGAGGGATCGCCCGGAGCTTTCGGGGACTCGAGCTTTTATACGTTATTCGTGAGAAATGAGTCACGTGATTGACTTCTGTTGACACTTACGGTACATTCCGATCAACTAACTGTCAACTTTCCCACCATAATGTGAAAACAATCGGTGACCTCTGATATACTTCTCACCAAGAGTGTTTTTTTTCATCGGAGTTGTTTACAAAGATTTTTCCGACATCGGCATAAAAATCGCAGATTTCACAATTAAATAAACATATGGATCCAAATTAATTACTTTCATTTATTAAGTTATATATTTCAAGTACCAAACATGCTCTGGCTGTTCATTTAGTATTTGAAATTAAGTTATTGTTTTATGATTTCAGATACCCAAACTGCAACATTAACTTTAAATGTAGAAGGACTTGAATTTGATGTAGACTATACATTTGAACTTTCTGTATCAGCTGGAAGTCAAATATCAGCAAGTAAAACCCACACACTTAGAAAAAAAAATTATGACAGCCCAATTGTGACAGTTATCTCAAATCCAGTGCCGTCTTTACCAGTTCAGTCTGATCAAATGTAAGTGAAATTTTTTATGTATTTAACATTATTTATATTTACAATTAAAATTTTTATATAACATTCATTTTAATTCATATTCTGTTAGGATCCTGCTAAATGCAATGGTTACTCTTCCAGAATGTGTAACTAAATTAGGTCAGATATTTATGTTATGGTCTGTTGATAACCCAAAAATTAAATTTGATTTTGGATCTATTGCTTCTCCTATATACAGGATAAAGCCAAATACTTTGCCAGGTAGATTTATTTTAAATTTAAAATTTCTCTTTAAGAAATAAATCTAATAAAGTAGTATTCTTCTTTATTTTAAATAGGAGATACATCAGTCACATTTACAGCTAAAGCATTCTTGGGTTCAACAATAAATGAAAGTTCAGAATCTAGTGTTACCTTTAGAATTGCACCAGCTCAATTAAAAGCTAATATAGAAGGTCAGAAAATCTTTTTTCTTCAAAATGTGATATTAATATTTAAAATTATTGTAAGAGATAATAATAAAATTACATTTACATAATATAATTATTTTATTTAAAAAATTTTTTGAAATATATGAAAAAATTTATGTTAATTTTCTTTTAAAACAGATTTTCAAATTATTTCATATAAATATGTTTAAATCTTAATTATAAAGTTAAAATTTGAAAGAAATATTTAGTATAATGTAATTAATATTTGAAAATTTGTCAGTTATCAGTATCAAATGTTTCAGTTTGTTTTTACTATATTTAATTTACATTTTAACTTTAATTATAAGTGGAATTAATGCTTTATTTCCAAACAGCATCACAAAATTTTGGTAATTTAAATATAAAGAACGAAGGAAGCTCATTAGTGAGTCTGGTAGTTGAGTCCGGTGTTGCTCGGGCAAAAAATAACAACAGCAAAGATTAACATTATTAGATTATTTCGTACTTCTAATCTTTCTACTATATTATATTATAGTATTTGATTTACAAAGGTTATCTTACCAGTGGCGTGCCATCTATGGAAGCTGTGGAAGTGCCACTTTCTGTTTATTTTCTAGAATATAAATACATATTGTGCGATTATTTTCATATTTTAATGTACTTTGACTTAATTAAAATTAATATTTTATTATAATCTCATTATGTATCTTATTACAAATTTTTATACTATATGTGAGAAAAATTATAAGATTGCTTTGTATATTCAAATATAAATTTGTATATAAATATTCCCAATGGAAGCGTTATATTGTTGAATGTGGGATAGCTTCCACGACAAAAATATTTGAATGGTGTAAAGCAGCCAGATTATACACATTCGCACATGCACTTTACAGAGCACCAACCTCACATGGTTTAGCTCGTGGATGCTACACACCAAAATATCGTATAATGCTTCCGATGATTGTATCCAGGGCTAGCACAGCTTCCCTATCTTCAAATGTCACTGCATGCCACTGTATCTTATGTAAGAGTTTATCACATCAAGTGCCCAATCTAACAAATTTTAAAAATTCTTTAAATTGTGTACAGTAAAGAAATAAAGAATTTTTAAAGTGTGTTAGATTGATCATTCTGTATGATAAACCCTTACGTAAGATAACCTTTATAGTTATATTACCGATCTTACTCATTTTCACTGGGTGCAAGAATTAGATCTCTTCTGAGGCTAATTAGAGAATTTTTACATGGGTCTAAAAATATGTTCGATTTTCTTCAAAAATTAAAAAAAAAATCACATCTAAAATAGTACCATAAAAGCTGAAGTTCTTTAAAGTAATCCTTAACTCTCTCCCACTCCCCCATAGGGAAATTTCCAAAAATTCCTTCTTAATATGCATTCTCTTGGTTACCCTAACTGCGTACAAAATTTTAACTTTCAACTCCTAATCATTTGGGCTCTGCACTTTATTATTATTATTATTATGTTGGGTTATGTAAGATATACTCAATTAACACAGGTGGCTGTGTACTATGCCGGACCAGAGTCAAGGCATAGCAACCTAAACAAAACTAAAATTAAATAAGTGTGTCAGTGTCTGTATTCAGGAATTTTCTCACAATATGACATGTATTCAATATAGTGGCCTTCTGTAGTGTGATGTTTGTGTTTCTATTCAATTGTACTGTGCCCAGGCTTTTATGTAGTGTGTGTGGTATGACCCCTGTAGAGGAGAGAATGACAGGTACAATAAGCACCCTCTCCATCCTCACAGATACCTTATTTCCTGGGCAAGTTCTGTGTACTTGCTGACTTTTTCAGTTCATGTGTTTTGTACATTGTGAGTGTTTGGAATAGATATGTCTATAATGTATGTGATTTTATTGTTATTATTATTATTATTATTATTATTATTATCAACCCATCTTAATTATATTATAAGATTAGTTCTCTTTACAGTTTTCATGTAACCACTTCATTCAAACTTAATACACTTGTAGATAGTCTTCTGCTTAACTTTTTGTACTTATTCCTATACTTAATGAATATCAGTGCTTGCCCACTATAACTGATCATTATCTTCATGCTTTCTAAGAAATTTATTTTCTCTTATTCACTCAATAGTCTTTCTCTAAAATTATTTATTTTATTTTTCTTCAGTAGAATGGATAGTGTTATGAATTCCCTTGAATCTTATAACGTTAGCCATTACATCTTCATATTTCAGTATCAGATCTTTAAACAACACCAAGTACTTTTTTTTTAGAAATCATAAGTTAAGAATGGACAGAAACATTTAGGGCAAGCCGTGGATGGTTTTAACAGTTTTGTATTGTTGAAGATTCAACCTGTATAATTGATGTATCAGTGGTGAGGCAGCAACTGTGCATGTAGAAGCAGTGAAAAATTTCTTGACCAATTTGATGAAAATATTGAGAAAGGCTGTTACTGCCTGGAACAAATCTTTAATGTAGATAAAACTGTACTTTTTGGAGAAAAAATACCTGAAAGGTCTTACATACACAAAGAAGCTAAAACAATGTTTAGTTTGAGGCTTTTAAATGCTTATTTTTTTATGAATGAACTTTAATTTTTTTTATACATTATTTTTAAAATTTTTGCTGATTGTATTTCTATGTTCTTAATTAAAGCAAAGTTATCAAGTTTGAAGTTTCCTTTAGATCATTTCTTTATCAAGAACTAGCAGACCCCACCACGCATTGTTGTGGCTCAAAATGTATCTATTATAAATGTATTTTCCTGTGGGGGGAATTTTTCGAAAAATCCCTTCTTAGTGTACAGTACATTCTCTTGACGTACCATATTAAAACGCAATCAAAAACGCAAAAAACCGCATCTAAAATAGTATAAATAGAAGCAGAGTTCTTTACAGTAAGCCTTAACCCTGTCCATCTCCCTCCAGTGGGGGGAATTTCGACACATATATTATATAAAAACACGTGCCTATTTGAATGCAGCGTTGTGTCAAAATTTCAAAGGAATCGGTAGGAACAAACAAACATTACATTTTTATTTATATAGATAGATAGAAGATGATCCGCTTTAGTTCATTTTTACAGAAAAGCATAATGCCTCACAGAAAAGCAAACTTAGGGCGTCATACTCGTAGTGCCATCTGTTGGACATAAAAGCCTTAACCTAGATTATATCTTTTACTTTGTATGAATGTTTAACGGAATAATATACAGCCTATGTTCACCCTGAAGTTCCATTCTAAATATTGGTGAAAGAATTTTTGAAATTGGATGAGTAGTTTCGGAGATTACCTGCTACATCTAAACTTACTTACAAACATTACCTCTTTATAATATTAGTATAGATAAATAAAGCAATTAAGGTCCTCGTTTATTGACCAGTTTGATAAGTGATCAAGTCATAATAAAAGTGGAACTTGGTTGTTAAATGAGGAGTAACTGTACTATATATTTGTTGAGTTGCTTTTTTTTAGTTTTGTTTTCAGTTATGGTAAAAATTTTGTATTTTTTATATATTGATATAATAAAATATTTATTTATTTTTTTTTTGTTTAGGCAGTTCAGAGCTGACTGTTGGGACAGAAAATGGAGTAATTGAACTAGACGGTTCTAAAAGNTAAATATTTTCAGAATCAACAACCTTGTTACGATTATTCACAACCAAAAGATATGTTGTTAATAACAAAAAAGAAACGTAAAGAACCTATATTACAATTTCATTCTAATGCTTTGAAAGTTGGACAGAAGTTAACATTTGGATTAAAAGTTCGCAGTAATGATCAAAACAGTGAAACTGCTAATGTGATAATTAATGTCATAAGTGGAAGTATTCCTGTGGTAAGATTTTGAAATTCTAATTTAATTATTTTACTTCTTAAGTATTAATTATTTCAAAAGTCTTTGGGCCATGAAATGGTCCAAGGATAAATGTGGCTGTGAATCCATAACAGATTACAACTTTATGCAAGTATAGTGAAATCTGAAGAAAACACAAGTGTTCTCCATTGTCTGTAAACTGTCTTATTTGGCCATGGAGAACCTTCACAGAGCTATTTTTTTTATTTATTCATATAGGTCCTTTATATCTTGAGAGACTAACAGTTTTTTGAGCCAGAAACTTATTGGGCTTTTATAATTTTAGAAAGTTTATAAGCTATTTAGAAACTTTTATATATTCTGTCTATTATATTCTACCAACCCAAATTTATTAATTATTAAGATGTATGATAGACAATGACATAATTATATGTATATTGTTTAATTCTTCTTTGAAAAATTGTAAGTTTGTTTGTTTTATTGGTGTATGGAAATGTGATACTTGGGTGATCTGTTGAGGGGGTGCCACATGGGAGGACTTTTATGGGAAACTGGTCCCTATTTAGGTGTTAGTTACGTGAAGAAAACTCAGAAAACTTTTCATGGCCAATCTATTGGTCAGGTATGAAGCCACGACTAACTACCAGTGTTTAGTGGTTTTATCCACTTGGCCACTGGTGGGCAAAAATTGTAAGATGCTGATTAATAATTTATTTGGATTGTAATATCATAGTTAGAAAATTTTGTCCCTAACTATTTTATAACTTTAAATCAGTTTTGGTAATGATAAGATCATGATAGTATATATATAGACCATATTATAATAACTCGAAAATTAGACTAGTTTAGAGATTTTACAGGCTTAATTATTTCAAACATTTTTGGCTCTTTTCAGGCATCAGAAATTTCTTATAATTTAAAATGAATTTTATTTTTCTATATGTAACATATTTTTAAATTATAGGAAATTCCTGATCAATGACTTTGAAAAAAGATTAAAAGCGTTTGAAAGAGTTAAAAATNCATTCAATATTAAAAAAAAATTACTGATTTTAAAGTTTATTGCTAGATTTTGATTTTGAAAGTTTAATACAAGATATTTTAAAATAGTTTGCTTTTTGATTTAATGGCTGTGCTCTGAATTTTTATATCAACTTTTCCAAAAATAGTAAAAACAAACTAGTACATATACAAACTGAGCAATACGACTTTTGGCCTTTTTGTGCTCTCTGAGCAGTAAAGGGCCTAAAATCACAAAAAAAAAAAAACTGAGCAATACACTTATTTATAATTATAATTAGGGTTTCTCATTTCATGGTTTTTTGCTTGTCTCGGGATTTCAAGAAAAATTGAACTGGATCCCGAGATATAATTAATTATTTTTAAAATGTAAAATAAACCTTGAAATTGAATGATATAATTATTTTTCATTTTTTTTAGTAATTTAATACATTCTGCAACCTCCAAATTAATGTTAATAATGCTGTATAAAATATGTATTAAAAATTACCTTTGTACATATTGATAGAAATTTTCACAAATAGAAAAATTTTTTAAAGTTTGTTGCAAATTGCTTACAACAAAAAAAAATGCCTTTGAATTGAGTTGAAAATTTAAAGAAAAAATGAAATTAGATCAAACTTCTAACATAGAAGGTAATTTTCATTTTTTTAAATAAAACATAATACAAAATATTATTGTAAATTTTTATAATAAGATTTTAAAAAGCAAAGATGGTCAATAGTTTCATTACTCAATCTCGTTCTTATTTTAGTAATGAAAAGTCCTGCTACCGAGAATGTCCTTTCCAATTCAATTGATATGCGTGGAATTGTCTTTAATGCATTTAAGAGAAGACAGATGTTATGTGTTTTTTCACCTGTAGCCTCAAAGATTTCTAGTTTATTTTCAAGATGTGTTACAGTACTTCTTTTGCCCTCTAGTATTCTTGATATGTCTCACTTGGCTGCTTTAATAGCGTCATCAAGCTTACACCCCGATAACTCGGCAGTTTGTTTGGCTTTAATAATCAGATTTATAAAGAAAAAAATTTCATACTTGCATACTTCGTAGTCATTTGTATCCTTGCACAATCTGAAGCTACTGGGCATGGTTAAAAATTAAGACAGCATCAGTGCAATTATTCAAGATATTACAAATTCTGAAAAATAATTGTAAAAAAAGTAAAAGTAAAACATATTGATTATTAACAATCTGTGACATGCCATAACAAGCAAAAATTTAAAAACAAATAAGCAGGCTTAAAATTAATAAATACAAATGTATTCTGACAGTTTATAAGTTAATTATAGTATCTATTTATAAAATTTCCTTGACCTTAACACAAAATAAGAAAAAAGTGAATTTTTAAGAAATTTGTGGGATTTCCCAGAAAGAAAAGAATATCCTGGGATTGTTTTCTTTCCAGCCAGGATTCCAGGATCCCGTTAGAGAAACCCTAATTATAATTAATAAATAAACTTTAAGTACAAATTTTTCAAATAAATTGAAACTGTATAACAAATTGCTACAAAATGGTGATTATTTGATCAGTATCATCATCTAGAATTTTGATAAAACTAATTAGTTTATGCTTCTAACACAATAAAGTGGTATATATTAAGACACTTGGCGGGTTTTCTCATCTTTATTATTGTGTTAGAAGCATAAACAAATTGTAAAGCACGGTTTCATATCATCAAAAAAAAAAAAAACCATCNTTCTTATTGTGTTAGAAGCATAAACAAATTGTAAAGCACGGTTTCATATCATAAAAAAAAAAAAAAAAACTAATTAGTGTTTTTCGTATCTGGATGTTTGAGAATTTTTCAAAATATTATGAATGAATCCATAAAAAATTGAAAAATAAAGATGTATTAACTTTTTAAATATATTAACTTTTATTCAGAAACTTTTATATAAAAACTTTTAATTTTAGATAATACTAAAATCTGTAGTTTCTGCTGGAGTTGTTATTCCAAAACCAAATTCTGATGCCGAAGCATATTTTGTGCCAGCAGGTGCATCTGTAATTGTCTGTGCTGAGGTAAAGCCTGGTAAATATAAACTGAAGTCAGTATCATGGGACATAATAGGTAATATAAAGGTTTGGAATTTTTTTTGTATTAAATTTATTATAAATTAAAATTAATTACTATTTAAATTATTGAGGTTCAACTCGACCATTTACATACAGTGTTTTGGAGGGAAAGACATGTCTTACATTAGGTGAAGGTATGTAAATTAAATTAAAATAAACTTATCTCTTATTTGTATTTAATTTTGAAAATATTTTTAAAAATTATGCACTGTTTATGATTTATCTTTTATATAGGATATTTAATAGAACATGGAGTTTATAGAATAGAAGTAAAAGCATGTGATAATATGAAATCTTGTGGTAATATGACTATTTCTTTATATGCAACACCTCATGTCAGTTCATGTAAAGTTACTTTTAAACAGTATACATCATGCAAATGGGTAAGTAAAATATGTAATACATATCATTGTTAAACATTAATATTATTTGAAATTGTTTAAATTAATATATTGGTTTATTTAAATAGACAACAGCAAAAGTTAGTGGCTGTGTAATATCTCCAGATCGTCTGCCATTAACATATCAAGTAATTATGTATTCTGGAAGTAATTACATACCTGTTACTGCCCATGAATTTACTGATGATTTAAAATTTATTGGTCCTCCTCCACCATCAAATGAAGATAAAGTTTTATTAGGATTATTGGTATTTTTGTTATCTAATATTGTATTAATATTACTGATAGTTAAATTATTAAATTAAATATTTTAAAATTTAATTTAGTATAATTTATACACAAAAGTTTTGTTCCATATTTAATTAAGTAATCTAAATTTGCAAATTCAATTTTTTTTTATAATTTTAGGTCTGTGACAGGTTTAATAAGTGTAAAAATTTTAGTGGTGATCCTGTGCAAGTAACAACTGGAACTAATCATGAAGAATCATTAAAAACCATTGTAAAATCTGCAAAATTTGTTAATGATGCGGGTATGTTCCTAATATATATTTCTTAAAATTTCCTGTTCAGAATAGAATTTTATACTTTTGTAAAATTGAATGTTATAATATAATAGAACAATTATAATACTGTTTTTAACAATAATATATTTTCAAACTCAAAAGAATTAATTTTTCAGATAATAATTGATTATCATCTCATGATAATGATATCATGAGATAATAACTGAATATCTTGTAATTTTCAATGAAAATATAAATGACATTGTAAAACAGTTTTCTAGTTTTATTGCTGTAAAAATTAGTGACTCACTTTGATTATTTAATTATTGACACTGAGTATTTAGAAAAATAAAATTCTAGAATTTTTCTGCTTTGGGCTGTCTATAAATTATGTCTGTATTTTTCTTGAAATTTTTACTCTCCCTCTCGTCCCTCTTTTCCTAGTTTGTCTAAGTTTCCATAACCTCTCCTACCCTCTTTGGACATCCAACAAAACTCAATCCCCCTTAAAACCTTTATCACTTTATGAATAATAGATACCATCTATAGAAATGAAACGTACAAGAAATTTTGAAATATAATAATGCATAAAATGCATTTTATTATATTTAATGTGCAGGTAAAGAAGTTAAGGTTGAAAATGTTGAAAATGATATCAAAATTAAATTAGCACTTAAAACTGATAAAATGAAAAAGGATATCGATTTTTATTGTTATTATTGGGACGAAAAGAAGGAAAAGTGGGATTCCGATAGCGTTAAGACAATTGGTGCAGAATCCAGCATTATGCAGTGCTGGGTTTCACATTTAAGTAGTTTTGTGGTGTTAGAAACAAATAAAGGTTCAGTATTATTTAATTTTTTTTTTAATCAAAAGTGATTTGTTTTATTAATTATTTAAATATTAAACTTTTATAAATTTTATGTTTTTTTAAGGTCTTAGTACCGCATCCATAGCAGGAATTGTGGTGGCGACATTAATGGCTGTTTTCATTATTTGTGTGGTAGTATTGTTTTTTGTTCGCAAGAAACAGAGTAAAGAAATTCGGGTATCGACTGAAGTTCTAAATGCGGAGATCGAAAAATAAATTGCTTTTTTGTTTATTTTATAGAATCATCATTGGTTTGAAAATTGTTGAAAAATATTTTCATTAATTGTACATACATCATAATTATATGCAATGGCAGAAATAAAATTTTATTTTATATTGACGATTTATTTTCTTATTAAAAATATAAAATTCAATTCANTTTTTTTTTTGCAAATAAAGTTAAACTATTGTATTGACAGAAAGTAATGATTACTGGTAACATTTAATATTTAAAGCACTAGTTAAGACGATGACAATAAATTATAACAATTATGTGTTATCAGCTACATGTTGAAGCTAATAGCACAGAGCTTAAAAAGATCTACTTATTCAAAGATAATAATGATAACCAAATTCTGATTACAAAGTTTTTATAATGTATTTTAACTTACCATATATATTGTGGACTTGTTTTATACCATTTTTATTTTAACTTTTGACTAAGTTCTCCTCTGTTTGCTAATTGGAAACTATACCAGTATAATAAGTCCAATTAATAAACAAGGTCCAAGTAGACAGGATAATACACAGAAATTTACAAGAATAAGGACATAGAGGTAAAAAGAATTAAGTGTACTATAATTAGAACTATACTAATTGCCCATAAAGACAAATTGATAAGAATTAAAAAGCTTTAAAAATATGACTTGATTTTTAATAAAGTGTATTTTAATGTTGAACTTTTGATAGTTTTAACAAATACTTTTATTTGTTACTGTAGTTTTTATTATCATTAAAACTGTGTTTTTTTTTTCCAGGGAATTCATTAAAAGCTTTATGTTTGTTTTCATGTTTTTCTTTCAACAACAACAACAACACACAGTTTACAAAAGAACAAATGGACGATATTGTGATGTATACAGTTAATTCAGTTGCAGAATTTCCTACAGTTACTCAGGTTTCTAGCCAAGTTTCTGCCTTACATTCATGTGTTTTGCCACTTTGTAATCACAAAGAAACTGCTTATAAAACTAAATGTCTGAATGCAATAGCAAAATCTACAGAGAAAGCATCTTCTCTAAAAGTAAATATCATGCATTTATTTAAATTTATTTACAATTTTCTTTAAATAGAAAATAAAGTCAGTAAATTGAATAAAGGTTTGTTTTAAACACTGCACATATAACCAATATGCAACAAGAAGAATCTACAAGAAAACAAATATTTTTGTCCATGTTCAGTTAATAACAATAACCAAATTCACTATCAGGCTAACTGATCTTTGCAGTTGTTAAAACAAACAGTGTTGTTGTATGCACGTGGTGAGTTTTGATTTTTACAGACAGGTATTAAAACAATAAAACGTGCTTTTATTTTTTCTCGTATAAACTTCTACAAGAAAAATTCTTGTGGATTCCGACACTCCTGATTCCTTATTTTCCAACAAAAAAAAAGCAACACCTGTTCAGATCCACAGTCAAATAAGTTTTTTTTTTGCGATACAAAGAAAATACTTATTTTCTAACTTAAACCTACTTACTCTAAATAAAAAAAAAGAAAGAGAGAAAAGGATAGATCATGAGGGACAGGAATATAGTTTTAAGCATGAACGGGTACCCGAGTTGGTGATCGAGGTGGCGGTGGTTGGATGATGTCGTCCTGGAATTTCTTTTGGGGATGGATCATATGGGAGAGTCTACGAATAAGTTTCTTAGTTCTTTAGTCACGATACTTCTTTCTTCTGAACGTTTTGTGACCTTCTTCCAGTCGATGCTACAATGACCTGGAGACCTCTGACACGTCTTCCCTCTTCTAGGTCCAAAGCAAAAGTGACCCTCTCATCTCCCACTTGCCCTCTGGGCTATTTCTTTTCTTTTGTCCCCTAACCAGATCATCCACCACCCACACTTGAAAGAAAGTTCCAGGAAGTATACAAAGGAACACAGAACAAAGAAGGAAGGAAAAATAGAAAAACACATATAAAACATATATATAAAATATAACAAAATACATTGGTGTATCACCACAACAGAAAAGTTATTAGGAATAGCAGGTTGGCAGGTTATGTCTGGATGGGCTTTAGCATTGCAGAGAAGGATGAAAGTTGGGTTTTGAGGGACTTATGGAAACTAATCAAAAGTTATTATTTCTGGCAATTTCTTTCTACAGAGCCGCCATTCTTTTAGCTTTTTATACAGTATCATGGGTGCAATTATTAGGATGGAGGTGGTGGAGGAATGACGACAAATTATACCTTTGATTGTGTTTGGAGAGTAGCCATGTTGTCTGGCATACTGTGTGATAGTTTGGAGTTCCTTATTCCTGTTTTGGTGTCAGATGAAAGGGTAAGGCTCAACAAATTAAGGCACTGAAATCAGCCATCTTGAAGAAAAACATCCACCTCAAAGAACATTGGACTTCAAGCATGAAGGAGCTGGTCAATACCACATTAGCAACCTTTATCTCTGACCCTGATACAGATGTATTGTACATTTCAATCAATCATGCCTCTCACATGGCACCTCCCACAAAGAACAGCTTAGATATTTAGAACAATTAGAAATTTACAAAGCCACAAGAAAAAATTCAGCAATCAACTTTAGATATGTAGACTCCTTCTTCCCTGCATGGAAGTCAATCTACAAAGTTTAATCTTTCTCTCCTCCCTCTTATGTCCCTCACCTTTTAACACATGGAAAGCAATCAACTATTCCTAGTAACTTTTCTGTTTGTTTTAACAACTGTGAAGGTCAGTTAGCCTGATGATGCCCATTAAACAGAGATGAAAATGTTTGCTTTCATGTAGTTTCTTCTTGCTGGATATTGGTTATATATGCAGTGTCTATTATCTTATACCCAGTTTTGAGTCATTCTATCTTATGTATTTTAACTAGGCATACTTGGAGACATCAATTATCACTCAATCCTATGATATGGTAACAAGTTTTCTAAATTCCTCTGATGCTAATACAAAATTACTTCAAGCAGCTAAAAAAGCCCAGGTAGCATTGTTGGCACATTCTGCTGCTTTTCTTCCTTTGGGAAGTAAAATGCAATTTGGAAGTGGTAAAAAAGGCAAACCATTTTCTATACTTTATCACAAATATATTGATCAAAATCCCTTACAACTTAGAACAAATATCAATACAGGAAGTCTTTTATCTTCAATTAGTTTTGGAAAGAAAGTCACAGAAAAGTAAGTAAAAATAAATAAAAAATAAATTATAATTATAGAATATATTTTAATGGAAAAATTTATGATAGATTAATTGAAATTCTTAATATATTTCTAATTTTTTGCAATTAATTAATTAATTAATTCTTTCATTTGAAAACATTAGAAAAATAAGTAGGCTATATCTTTTCACAGGTATATTCTAATGCTTTATTTAATGGAAAAAATGTTTGCGGGAACACTGTAGTAATCAATTCCATATAAACTACAATACTCTTTGAAAAAAATATATAAATTTGAAAATTTTGAATTTGCTGTCACTCAGTTTATAGTCATTTCACATATTATATGTGAATATATTTAATATTATATATAAATATGCAAATAAAGTAAAATGATAGTGATGTGATCTTTAGTTTCAATTTTGTTAGCAAAATAATGAAAAATAATGTTGGGCATAGACAAAGTAAATTATGTAGTATATATAAACACTAACAGATTAACCTGGTGTTGCTCAGGCAAAAAGTAACAATAGTGAAGATTAAGATTATTACATTATAACCAATCTTACCCATTTTCACAAAATGCAAGAATTAGGTCCCCCTGTTTCCAGACTAATTAGAGAATTTTTAGATGGGTCTAAAAATATGTTCGATTTCCCACAAAAATGCAAAAAACCGCATCTGCACTTGTAAATCTTGCATGTTGCTTTCTCTTAACACTTCCATTGTTAATGAATACACTTCTTTAGTCCCCATGTGGTACCCTACAAAAATGCAGTTAAAAATAAAAAGTTGAATCTAAAATAGTACAGTAGAAGCTGAGTTCTTTAGGATAAGCCTTAATCCTTTCCCTCTACCCTGCAGTGGGAATTTCAAAAAGTCTTTTCTTAGTGTACATTCTCGTGACATACCCTATTAAAATGCAGTCAAAAATGTAAAAAAACTGCATCTAAAATAGTAAAATATGAGGGCTATTTTTTTTTTCAACCTCCAATGGTCCATAAAAAAAAGAAAAGTGTAAATAACAAAATGAATTTATTACCAAAAGTTAGGTACAAACACGGTTACTTTTCGACATAATCACTGTGAGGATTGAGGCATTTGTCATATCTGTGGACAAGCTTTTCCATCCCCTTGTCATAGAATGTTGCCGCCAATGACTTGAGATGGGCCCTAACGTTTTCTTTGAAGATTGTCATTAGTCTCGAACCTCTGCCCTCCTAGCCACTTTTCCTGTTCAGGAAAGATGTGGAAGTTGCTTGGTGCTAAATCGGGGCTATACGCTGGGTTTTTAAAGGTGGTGAAGATTTTCACCTTTCAGACTTCCATCCAGCTTAAAACTTTTTAATGTGTGAAGACTTCCACATCTTTCCTGAACTGAAAACTGTGGCTAGCAGGGCAGAGGTTTGAGACTAATGAACTAATGACGATCTTCAAAACAACATTGTTAAGGCCATCTCAATTCACTGGCAGCAACATACTATGATGAGGGGATGGAAAAGCTCGTCCACAGATATGACAAATTCCTCAATCTTCACAGTGATTATGTCAAAAAGTAACCATGTTTGTACCTAATTTTTGGTAATAAATTCATTTTGTTATTTACACTTGTCTTTTTTTTATCGGAGGTTGAAAAAAACAGCCCACGTAGAAGCTGAGTTCTTCATGGTAAGCCTTAATCCTGTCCCTCTCCCTATGGAGGAGGAACTTTGAAAACTCCTTTCTTAGTGTATGTTCTCATACCCTAACTGTGTACTAAATTTCAACTTTCAACTCCTGTTTGGGCTTTGCACTTAATATCATCATCATCAACCCATCTCAATTATATTATAAGATTGGGTTTATCCAAGCTATTGTTTATATATGAGTATATATTTCATTAATGTATTTCTCTCATAGTTTCAGTTGTGTAATTCTAATGTATTATGTTAAATTTAGGGACTGTCCATAAATTATGTTTGCATTTTTCTTGAAATTTTTGTTCTCCCTCCCCGTCTTGTCCCAGTTTGTCTGACTTATTATAATCCCCTCCTTTCCGGTGTGGATATCATTTATGGACAGTCCCTTATGAAAAATCACCAAGAATTAATATTCTAGTAATAAAATAACTTTAAATTTAAATATTACACTAAGTAAATTTCAAGAAAATACTATTACAACCAGCCAAATATTAATAAATAATAATGTATTAAATTTTGATTCCAATACTTATTCTGAAGCATTTATAATTAAAGTTATGAACAGAATAATTAAAATTTACAAGAAAAGAAATTTAGAAAATAACTTTTGAAAATTTATATTGTAATTCAGCAAATAATAATAAAATAATAATTTTATTAATAAAACTTTTATTATTTTATTGTTTAACTTCAATAAAAGTTTTATTTTTATAATTTTTACTAGAATTTTGATGATAAAATAGGTTATATTTTTAAAAAATTATCACAAATACAATTTTTTAATGTTTTTTTCTGTTGCATAATATACTGTACTTAAATTTAAAAAATTAAATTTAGTATACTGATATAAAAAATTTTTCCTAAAATAAAGTACATATTAATTTTGTAGATTTACTAATTGGGATTGTGGTGAAGAAGCACGATGCAATGGTGCTGTCATTAGTATGAGCTTGTATCCTGATAAAGATCCATATACATTAGAAAACGATAAACAGTTGAGCCCTGTAGTCGACGTAAGTCTTCTGACACCAGGCAATGGTAAATAAGATATTGCTTAATACAAATATGAAATTTATATTATATTAATTGAGATTGATTTTCAATTATGTAACATTTAATTATAATTTGGTTGCAATTTTCAAATTGCAGACCTATACATTCCCACTGTTGTCTGTCTACCTGCCCTTTGTTAATATTGAGAATGGAATTAAATAAATGAAAATTAAGAGCAGATATGGAAAGTTTAGGGACCAGAGGTCCTGATTATAACTACATACAAACTTCCAGTCCAGACTGGAAGTCATATGATTTCAATTCAAAATTTTCTCCAGAATGGAGTTAGACAGATGACAGGCATGACTCAATAGTTATCAGAAGTATGATGTAAACTGTCAAGACACTACTAAAATTGACACCAGATACCGAAAGCTTAGGGGCTGGAGATCCAATTAACTCTATATGAACTTTAGATTCAGACTGGAAGTCACTGATTTTTTAAATTAGAGGATGATTAAAAATTGCAGCCTAGCATTAGGATAATGTCATAATAAATAATTACTTGTTAAAGTTTAATATAAAACAAATAAAAAAGTAAAAATGTTATTTTATTCTTTATAATAATAATAGAAATTTACCTCGTAGTATAACAACACTATTCCTAACAGTTTCAAAATAATAAAACCACTTCTTCTCTGCTATTGGATTGTACATTTACTATCTGACATGAATTTGCATATAGGATATTTTGCAAGGTCATGTAATACAGTAAAATTTGATTTTTTTCCAGAATATTTTCAATAATTAATTTTAATTCTTTCACATTTATATTTACTTTAAGTATATATCAGAATATTTGCTTACTAGAGTATTTTAGACTTTCTCATTTAGGTTTAAATCTAGGAAACTGAGTAGCCAGCCTGTCATCCATTTATTCAAAATCATCCTCTATGATATAATTTTCTCATTGATACACTCAAAATGGATCTAGCTTTTCATTAATAAGCATCAGATATATCTAATAACTTAATGACTTTAGAATTTATTCTCAGTTTATAAATGCTACATTTGATATTGAATTTTAATTAAAAGCTTGAATTTTGGACAACAGACAAGTTTCACATTTATCCATTACAAGTTTTCAATGTTTGCACCTTGTGTCGTACAGTATGCATTCAACCAACCGATACTCAAATTTTTCCTACACTCATTACAGCATATCTGTTGTCACTCCTTCCGTAGCCACTGCAGTTCTACAACTACCACAGAGTACTTGTGTTGCAAAATGGTAAGTGATTCTGACTGCAAACTGCAGAACAGAAACTGCCTTTTCTGTTGTGGAGTCACCTAGAGATACTCCACAACAGAAATGGTGCTTCTTAGAGGTAGAACACAGCAAGATGTTTGAATGCATATGGGAGACAAAAGTCAGACAGTTATTCTATTGATTGGTGAACTTCTTGGATAATAATTATCATAATTAGAGTAATTCAAAATGGTAGCATTCATTTGGAAGATGTATAAAAGATTCACATACTTTGTATATAGTCATAATAAAGTATTGAACATGGTAGATAGGTTTTGGCATACACTGTATATTTCCGAAATGACTGCTTATCAATCATTAAGGAATGTATTGTTTACCATTTACTATTTAAAATTTTTATACATTACTAAAATATTTTATTATATTTAATGTGCAGGTAAAGAAGTTAAGGTTGAAAATGTTGAAAATGATATCAAAATTAAATTAGCACTTAAAACTGATAAAATGAAAAAGGATATCGATTTTTATTGTTATTATTGGGACGAAAAGAAGGAAAAGTGGGATTCCGATAGCGTTAAGACAATTGGTGCAGAATCCAGCATTATGCAGTGCTGGGTTTCACATTTAAGTAGTTTTGTGGTGTTAGAAACAAATAAAGGTTCAGTATTATTTAATTTTTTTTTTAATCAAAAGTGATTTGTTTTATTAATTATTTAAATATTAAACTTTTATAAATTTTATGTTTTTTTAAGGTCTTAGTACCGCATCCATAGCAGGAATTGTGGTGGCGACATTAATGGCTGTTTTCATTATTTGTGTGGTAGTATTGTTTTTTGTTCGCAAGAAACAGAGTAAAGAAATTCGGGTATCGACTGAAGTTCTAAATGCGGAGATCGAAAAATAAATTGCTTTTTTGTTTATTTTATAGAATCATCATTGGTTTGAAAATTGTTGAAAAATATTTTCATTAATTGTACATACATCATAATTATATGCAATGGTATATTGACGATTTATTTTCTTATTAAAAATATAAAATTCAATTCAAAATGTTATTTTAATCAAAGTGATGATGCCACATCATTGAAGTACAACGATGGAGGAATGACACCGTCCATTTTCCAGGTCTCGGAAGCTTCATCTTTATTAAATAAACTGTAAAAGAAATCAGAATTTTGTCATGAAATTTTGATAAAATATTAGAATCACTTATATTTTTCCATCATTAATCAAAAATAAATTTTTGAACATCATTCAATTTCTTCCTAATAAATTATTGAACTATGTAAATAACAATTATCCAATATTTAATTGTATTTAAAATAAAATTCTGTTAATAAAAATAATTATTTATATATACACTTATATTTAATTTTCTTGAACTTTTAATTTACTTTATCACATAATATAAAAGATAACTTTTATAACCACTTAAAAAGGGTTTTTCTGGACAAATAAACCAAAATGTTATGTCCTTTGAACAGTATATATAACATAAGACGATTTTTAATGAGTGGGTACCATGGTAATTGTTACACTGACTTGTCTTGACCTTAACTGTTGAAAGTAACTATAGCATGTAAGAGATAAAATGTATTCTGTCATTCATATCAATCCATACCCCTATACATTTACTTTGTTCCATATATATGCTGTATATTAATCCTATCTGATGGGTACAGGTTGATAATATAGAGGGCCAAATCTTTTAAAATTCATGTAAAGAAAAAACACAAAAGTTATATAAAAATTAAAATGTCCTTTAATAAGTTGCAGGAAAATCCATTTTTATTGGTTTCATTCATATATTTTTACAGTTTTGGAGAGAATAGGAGTCTACACTACAAGGAAAGAAAATAGCAGAATCATACTTATTGTACGCATACAGTATAATGGGAGGAAGATCATTAGATTGACAGGTGCAGAGCACCTAGCATGTTGTAACTTTCATGCAAACATTGCATTTGTTGCATGCCACGTTTGTGGTGTAGCAATTTTAATGGCCAGCAGTGTATTTCACCTATCTCAACACGTGGATTGATATATATTTATAAGGGGCTGCCAATATGTAATGCAGATGTGGATGAGTATGAAGGGGATGGGGTGTTTACAGAAACGTGACGTAATGGGAGGATTGAGGCCCTACCATTACATAATGCAAAGCATTGCACCACAAACAGTGCTATTTATGCCACTACTATGTGCGTTATAAGTGTAATTAATTAATTAATGTAGTGATCGAAACTCCGTGCTGTGTATTGAGTTGAGTGCTTACGTAATTTTGGAGCATGGTAAGTGTAACGGAGTGGACTCCGTCTCCGCTTAATGGTGGTGACCAGACCCTAAACACCGGAGTTCGATCAGGGGTTCACGCCTCACTCAGACAAGCTGGCAGCGGGAGTTTTTTCTGGGTTTTCCTCCTTGCCAATGATGCCTGAATAGGGGCCAGCTTCCCCCAAATCCTCCCGGAAGGCTTTCTGTCTCCCTTTCTCATGGGGGTCGTCTCTTATAAGGCCAGCTTTGGTCACGCTGTGACCTCTCTCCTGTCTTCTTGGATTGGTCGTCTTCGATAAGACTACCTCTTCGTTCGCTGTACGATCGGACCCACTGTTTCTTCCGGAGTGAAAAGCGACGAGCTGCAGCACTCTCCTATCAAAGGTTGAAGTGAAGTGAAGAGCAACAGAGCGTTACTGGTGCTAGGATTGTAATTGAAAAGTAGAAAAATAACATTATGTAATTAATGAAGTATTTGCACTCATTAAAAATACAAAATAATTTTATTAAATTGATCTGATGCTAAAAAACCACGTGTATGCATTTTTATGAATGAAGACACGTGTGTTTTTAGTCTTACATTTAGTGAAAACATAAGACTGGATTTAATTAATTTTCTTATTAAACTGGAATACTTATTTTTAAATCATAAAATATACATTCTGTGTTAAGTTTAAATGAGTTAACGGGAGTTACAGAAAGACATTTCGGCTAATTTATATCACACGATATAAATAACCGCATTAAAAAGGAAGTTAAATTAAGGGTAATCATTCATATTAAACTGTCAATAGAGGGCAGTAATTGCCATTAAATGTCTTATGATTTTATTATTATTAATGCGATTTTTAATAATTTATTGCAATGAAAATATTACGCAATATTAAATCAATTTATTAAAAAAATTAATATTTTCAAAAATTTAATTAATAAACAGACGAGATTGAAGCGAAATCATTTGATTTTTTTAAAATTTAAAACTTAATTTAAAAAATCGATCGTTATTTTATTAATAATTGAAAAATTGCTTTAATAATATAATAAATTATTCGTGAAATAATTTTAAATTGTTATAAAATCGTATATACTCGATCACGTGAGCTATATTTAATTTAATATTTATAAATTTTTATTACAATTTTTACGTCTTATTTAAAATTAATGATTAATTAATTACGTATACATTTTAAAAATAACTTAATAGAAAAATAAAATAATTTACTAGAAAAAAAAAATTCGATTCGAAAATTAAACCATAATTGACGTCATTGCTAAATCCCTCTAGTGTTAACCTTGATAACTAAACCAATTCAATCCGGACCAATGGAGTTGGGAGGGCGATAACAGTAGTTGTAATATAACGATAACGTAAGTAAACTTAGATTAGTTAGTAGATGATGGAGTCTGTACTACGTACCGTAGCGAAATTTCACGTGAGGAGTGCTTATTATGTCGGAAAGATCGTTCGAACTTACAGTACAATACACGAACCTAACGGCCCATCTGTCGTTACTCAAGATATCCCGGGTCCAAAATCCACGAAATTAAAGGGTGCTTTAAGTGCCATACAGAACACAGATGCAGTGCAGCTTTTCATAGATTATAATAAGTCAATAGGTAACTATATGTGTGACGTAGACGGTAATTACTTCTTAGATGTGTATAATCAGATAGCATCTTTGCCACTGGGATACAACCATCCTGCTATCTTGGAGGCTGTCAGCGATCCAAAAAATTTCACCGCATTCGCAAATCGTCCAGCATTAGGTATACTTCCGCCTTCGGACTTCGCAGAGAGATTACGCTCCGCTCTTATCGACATCGCGCCACCGGGATTGAAAGAGGTCCAGACTATGGCTTGTGGTTCGTGCTCAAATGAAAACGCATTCAAAGCCGCCTGTTTTTGGTACATGAAGAGGGAACGCGGAGGCCAGGCCCCCGGCGAAGAAGATCTTAATAGTTGTCTGTGGAATAAGACTCCCGGTTCGCCAACTCTCTGTATACTCTCTTTTGCGGGAGGTTTCCACGGGCGTACTTTTGCCGCTCTTTCGACCACTCATTCCAAGTCGATACATAAATTAGACATACCCGCTTTCGACTGGCCGATAGCTGATTTCCCGAAGTACAAATATCCTCTCGAAGAGCATTCCGATTACAATGAAAAAGAGGATGCAAAATGTTTAGAAAAGGTGGAAGATTTAATAGAAACATACCAGAAAAAAGGTAAGCCGGTTGCTGGTTTAATCGTGGAACCGATTCAGGCCGAAGGAGGAGATAATCACGCTTCTACCGACTTTTTTACTAAGTTACGTACGTTAGCTGCAGAAAAAGGTGTAGCTTTTATATGTGACGAAGTACAAACTGGCTGTGGTACTACTGGAAAATTTTGGGCCCACGAATTTTGGAAATTAAAGGACCCACCCGATATTGTAACATTTAGTAAAAAGATGCTTACGGGTGGTTATTTTTATAAAGACAGCTTTCGTCCAAATGAAGGATACAGAGTTTTCAACACCTGGCTTGGTGAACCTTCAAAATTAATATTATTAGAACAAGTCGTAAAAGTAATGAAAAAAGATAGACTTGTCGAAAGTATGGCGACGACTGGATCCTATCTATTAAAAGGTTTAAAAGAAATTAATTCCTCTCATCCTTCAATTGTACATAATCCGAGAGGAAAAGGAACATTCTGTGCTATAGATTTTAATGATGCCGAAACCAGAAATAAAGTAATAAATCTGTTACATAAGAAAGGTATCCATTGTGGTGGTAGTGGTGTCAGAACACTACGAATACGAACGGCCCTCATTTTTAAAAATAACCATGCCGATATTTTATTGGATCGCTTAAAACAAGTGGTAGAAGAAATTAAGTAATTGAAGTATTTTCTCGTTGATAAGATTCGTAAACGCAGAAAGTTGTTACAATCGAGTTAAGTTTTATTTTCTTTGTTTAATTACATTTTTTATCAAAATATATAGATATTGTACAATATATACATAAATATTTTATAAGTACAAGTACCTAATATATACGAATACCTCAATTTTAATAGTAACTGTTGGAATTTATTCATTTTTATTTTTTAAATATTTTCAATATTTATATATTTCAAATTTTTTGTTGAATTTATTATATTAATCATAATTAATTTAAAAAGCCTTAAACTTTGTAAAGGTTTTGAAAATAATAATATATGCTAAGATAATCACATTTAGGCATATACATATATAAATTAATTGATATAAGAATATTCTATATTCTTTCAAATGAAATTATACATATTATATATAAAAATTTTTAAAAGATGATAATTATGCAAAATGTTGATACTTTTATAGGTGAAAATATAAGTATTGGTTTATTTTGTTTAATTAAAATCAATTCTAAAGGAGTATTAAATTTAATACATGATGTATCATTGTAGTATCTGATACTACGAATTGATCTTATTGATGACATTGCAATGATCATTGAGATATTTAAAGAGAAGTAACTGAACAGAACTTTAACATTTGATTTATTATCAATTCTAAATACTACATAAAAATGTCATATGAGAGATTAGGAATTGAATTCTATCTGAAACTTTTGAGTTTTTATAAATAATGTAGGCTGGGTATTAATTTATATTCTAGTCCTTCAGCAGAGTATTTGTGATGGAAATTATAATCTGTAAAGAACCGAATTATGGTGGTCTCTTGATAATGATTAAAATATTCAATCTCATTTAAAAGAATCCTTAATGATGATAGATGCCAGTGGTTTTCAACCCATGTTCTGCGGACACACTGGAAGTGTTCCATGAAAAAAAATTATTTTAAAGTTTTTATTGCAAATTTATTCCAATGTATATAATATATTTCATTATTTATGGATAATTACTATTTTATTCAATACAATAAAGTATATTTATTAGTTTATTGATTCATTGTTTCATAAGAATAGTAAACATGAAATTGCTTATTGATGTTAGAATATATTTATGCTATAGTAAAATGTATATGAATAGTGTACATAACCCAACAACTACAAACCTGAAAAATAATCGCATTATAATAGCCCAATATAATCCTGTAGTTGTTGGCTTATTTCATATGAATGATGTTCTATAGCCTCAGAAAGGTTGAGAATCACTGCATTAGACATTCACATAATATTTCATATTTTTGCAAGTTAAGTAATTGAAAAGTTTAAAATACAAGCCATGATATAAAATTCCACTAAATGCAGATATTTGAAATTCATCACTGCCTTAAATATAAATACAGTATTAATAGTAATTCTGTTTACTAATTGTCATGCTTATAATTAAAGTTTGAAGTTGAAACAAGAATTATAGCTGATCTAAAAATTAATGTATTTTAAGCCAATAGTCTTGGCTTTGTAAATAAATAAATTATTCTTAATACAGTAAGAATAGAGAATTTTGCCAAAGAAATTTAGATATATTTTTGTTGCATTATTTCAATTTTTGCATAAAATTTATGAAGTAAGAGAGAAATAAATTTTCAATTTGTCTATAAGTTATCTATCACAAATTGTGATATCAAAGAAATAACTTAAAAGTGTCACAAATTACAGACCAAATATTTATTAATACACATAATTCCAGAGTTACTTTTTCTTAGTTAATGTTCTAGAAAGTTTTAATTACATGCTTTATCTATAATCAATATAAATAATAAATTATGATTTTAAAAGATAAAATATATACTGTATATTCATTCCAACAATTGTTAATTTATAATTTTATTTTATTATGTATGGTATTATTAGATGGACATTTGTTTAATTTGATAATTTGACATCAATGTAAACCATATGTTCAAATATTGTTTTATAATAATCATAAGATATGTGCCAACACACATTATTATTTTATTTAACACATTATTGTTATTATTTAACATAAGTGCAGCTTTCATTCCTATTTTTTACATTATTCATGCTGCTATTTAAGGTATATTTATAGCATAAAATTTATAATGAAAAATGTGTCAAGTATTTTTAAAATTAAAATATAATTCTGACCAATTTTTCTTATTAAATTTTAATAGTTCTGCTATTTATATCTTTGTTTTTGACAGCTTATAATGTCTAATTTTCATAATTAAGAATATTTTATGATAAACGGTTGGTTTTTTTTAATAAGCATATTATACTTTGAAAGATTCTTAAAACTCAATTCTTTATCACAGTATTATTTTAATATCAATTGTATAGTGAGGTTAATTATCTAATTGTCAGAGTGTTGCTTCTAACATAACTGTCAGTTTATATATATAAAAATAACAGTCTACTTCCAGGAAGAACTGAAGGTTAATAAATGTTATATAATTATTAGTTTATAATTTAATGTATAGATAGTATAGATATCAGTTGAAAATATATAACAGGTATTTGTTAAATATTATGAGTATTTTACTGTATAAAACTTAATGTTTTAACTTGTTGATATATTATTATATATGTTAAATTAGCATCTTTAAAATAGGCCTTACAGTTATTAATGTCATAGGTGCTGATTTTCCCCCCCAAAGAAGTTGGAGGGTTGCTCTCTGGAAAGATCAAAATTTGAGAAAATACTGAAGAGATTCTAGAGGAATTTGTGTTCAGTGAGAACCAAATGCTAAAAATAATGCAAAAATGATCAATGATGATGCTATATTAATCATTTAATGTATTATATTTGAATGTCTTTAGAAAAAAAATAAATGTATTTTTTTTTTTTTGCATTAATTTTTGCATTCTGTAGTAATGAACCTAAGATTGAAGAGTTTGGTTGATGATAAAATCAGGTGAACTAGTCTTATTAAAATTTGTACCATAGAGTCTGATAAGATGCTGAACCACAATAGAAAATAACTATCAGATTATTGTTATTTTTAATATTATTGTTTCTAGAGTTAATTTAGTCTGTTCCTAACAATTTTATGAATAAAACTCTAGAAACAATAATAGTCTGTCCCTAATAAATTTTATTTGCAATTTAAAATAATTATCTTGTTAATTTACAAATAAAATTTTAGGGACCATTAGAGCACCCGAGTAACACCAAAGTCTGCACCTATTACTAATGTTAATAAGTGTTTCGAATTTAATGTGAAAAATCATTGTTTATAATAAACAACACACACAACCATTATTCCTAAATTAGAATTTAGATTTATAAAAATTGTATTTGTTGTATTATATACATATATATTGTATATTATGCTCTTGTTGAAGAGTTTGTAAAAAAATTATTAGAAAATGTATTTCTTATATATAAAAAAATGTTATGATTAAATGCACTGAATTATTGTATTGTGTAGTACGAAAATAGAAAATAAATTGTTAATATAATAATTGTTGAGAAATTTTAATTCATGTAAAATCAGTTTTGTTAACAGTTTATTGTTCATCAGCTGATATAAGGTGCTTCTAACCGCCGCAAACTACAGCTTTTGCTAGCAAACGTGCGCTAGCACACCCGATGACGTCAAAGACCGCACCCCTTTCTTCGTACTGGTGTGTTTATCCCTTTGCTAGCACAGTGATATGAGCGTACGCTCGCTGTTGACAGAATTCAACAGACAAAGCAGTCACGCTAGCAATTCAGAGGATAGAAAATGGATGCCTGCACGAACATGTCGTCAAGCGCCGAAAAAGAAATAATAGAATTTTACCGATGTAAGTAAATTACACGATTAATGCATTCAGTATTGAAAAGAAAACAGTGAAATCGTTGTATATATTTTCGGCTAGTTTATGTTTTATGTTTGTTTTCCCATGCTGTTTCCAAGTTCGGAACGAAAACGGACTGATTACAAGTATAGGTTATAATAAAATCTTTGTTCTATAGCCAATCCACATCTGTGGAATCCAAGTCATGCGGACTACTACAAAAAGAATAAAAGAGATTCCACACTGACAGAATTAAGAGAACTTTTAGCTTCTAAACACGGAACCAACATCAGTTGTAAGTAGACTATTTTATTTGTTGTGGGCTAGTATATTTAGTAATACAATTTGGTTCAGAAGATGCCAAGAATAAATTATAGCCCTGGCCTACATCCTAGCACACAAGGCAAATTTATCACAGTTAGGGTTTCTCATTTCCCGGGATTTCGGGAAAAAAGTGAACTGTTTCTCGGGATCCCGGGATATAATTAATTATTTTTAAGATATAAAGAATATCTTGAAATCGAATGATATGATTATTTTTCATTTTGTAAAGTAATGTAAGCGTTCTGCAACCTTCAAAATAATAATAATAACGCTGTGTAAAATATATATTACAGTAGAGCGTCGTTTATCCGAATCAATTGGGGACTGGGGTGGTTCGGATAACTTATTTTTCGGATAACGAATTATGTACGAAAAAATATATTAATTTATCCCATGTTGAAATTTCTCTCCGTTGCGTGTCGCTTCGCGTTGAATTTTCGTCGATGTTAAGCCTAACGAAGACTATTGTATCGTTAAAAATTATTTTTTATTTTGTACAAACAAAATAAATTTATTGAAAAATATAAAAACAATAAAAAATTATACTTCAGATGTTAATTTAGTATCAAAAACGTAAAATATTTGAGTAGCCCGAGAAATAGCCGAAGATTGCAGCGCCACAGCACTAGCGAAAATTTAAATTTGCCAACTGGAATGCTTTCGGATAAACGACGCTCTACTGTAATTAATTAATTTAAACCTTTGAATTACGTAGAAATTTTCACAAATAGAAAAGATTTATTAAAGTTTGTTGGAAACTGCTATAACTTTAAATCAGTGCAAAGTAGCCAAATCTGGCAACTCTGCTACATAATACAAAATATTATTGTAAATTTTTATAATAAGATTTTAAAAAGCAAAGATGGTCAATACTTTGATTACTCAATCTCGTTCTTATTTTAGTAATGAAAAGTCCTGCTACCGAGAACGTACTTTCCAATTCAATTGATATGCGTGGAATTGTCTTTAATGTAGGGGCGTGCAGTGACATTTGATGATAGGGAAGCTGTGTTTCTATAAGAAGCCGACTTCCAGGGGCAATCAGTTAATTCTTTCTTTAAATGTATTTTTAATAGATTATTTATCTGACGTACTTAATAAATAAACAAGTTCAATATAATTACCTCTGTTATTAGTTTCAATAGGTTTCCTTTGCCCTCTAAATGCCAATTCTTGCTTTGATAAAAACATATAACATCTATTTATTTAGATATAATATATCTATTACCCATAATTATCTCGTTACAATTTTCAATATTTATTTTATATTATTTACTAATGTTAAATTCTATTCCGCTTCGATTTCCAAATTGCTTCAAATACGAAAGAATCGACGATTTTTCGTGTCTTTTGCCAGCTAAATTGTCAAAGACATTCTTATTCCACACACTAATTTCACTCTGTAAATGCATTTTTATGCATTTACAGAGCCATTTTATCGTGAAAATATCGAACAAATTTTTTTATTGAAGCGTTTATATTTAACTTAGGCATTGGCCGTTCTCTTTTAATAATGTTTTCTTTTTCATTATATGATCTCGAGCCAAAACTTTTTTAAAATAAATTTTCAATATCGCAATTACATTCCGAATCGCTAGCCACGATATAAGGGCTAAAATTAAAAATAAAATTATAAAAACTTACTTGGTGAAATAAAATGTGTGGTGGATATACATACCTGGTACAAAATATTCTTCAATTGTATGAATATACTTTTAAAGAAAATTATAATTAAATATAACTTTGTAATGAAACGTACATGAAAATAACATAAAATATTCTTTACTCTTTAAATCTTAACCACTTAGTCAAATAGCTCCCTACGAGTGGAATCAGAGACGGTCCTGCTAGGTGTGCGGTGTGTACTGTACATGCACGCGGGCTGCCAAATCCCGAGGGTGCCGATACCCTCGGGATTTGGCAATGTCAAATGTTTCTTTTGTCGCATCACTAATATACCTCAAAAGACGCGACAGGGTTCTTGTAAATTTTAAACGTTTCTCACCATAGCTGTAAAAGTCTAAATATGTTAAACTTAATAGATTGTCCGTCTTTTGTTTTCTAACTAATTCGTTTTAGGACCAGGTGTTGTCCACGGAAATTTCCAAAATTTACAACTTTTCGGTCACTCTCGTCGAACTGGAAAAATTTCTGTCTTTATTACATCTAATACAGTATTTCGAAGAAATCAGTCCCCACTGTACTCGGCTATAGATTGGTTCGGTTAAGCTTTTGTTTAAGTAATATTCCGGCTCTTTCATCAGGGTTTTGTTTATGTCCCCAATTCCCTAATCGCTTAATTATTTAAGTACTTCTTAAGTAGAAATAAGTCGAAACCAGTTACTTTGTACTCGAATATTTGTAGTCTCGGGAAAAAGTGGAAAGACAAATTTTTATGACAAACGGATACATAAATCGTAAATTTAAGGAAAATAAATTCTAGAGCCTTTTCTGTACCTCGTGCATCTCTCTCATTCATTAAATTTAGTTGTAAATGACACTGTCGAAGTAACAGTTAATTTTTTAAACATTATACAAGAATGTACACGTTTTTTTTCTACATCCCCTTAGAGATGGGATATACGAAATCGTAATATCACTGGTTTAACATCGAAATCCGTGAGTAATATAAAATCGGAGAGCGGAATAAATATATCAAATATTTTAATGGATTTTTTTAACTCCCGTCAACTATACAGAACTATCGTAAAAACATACCAGTAAATTCTTATTGGTTGGGTTAAGTTATAAATCTACTCGTTATTCACGTAATCGGCCAAATATCTAGTGGGCGGGCGGCTAACGGCCCGGAACCGGTCCCAGATAGAATTGGAAGCGTTGGAATGTGTAGCATCAACTCAAGGTGGTAGGCTTCCACCGGCTAAACCGGGTGTGGTTGCCTCTCTGTAAAGCGCGTGCGCAAATCTGGCTTTTTGGAATCTGACAATACAGAGATTCCACTCCACCACTAATATTCGAATATACAATAGCAATCTTATTTTTTTCACGTGTAGTATAGAAATTTGTAATAAGATATATAATGCGGTTATAATAAAATATTTGCGATTATTTTCATATAATTAAAATTAATATGTATTTATTTTTTATAAAATACAAGGGAAGCGGCGCTTCCACCGCTTCTAATGACGGCATGCCACTGCTTTAATGCATTTAAGAGAAGACAGGTGTTATGTGTTTTTTTCACCTGTAGCCTGGAAAATTTCTAGTTTGTTTTCGAGATGCGTTACAGTACTTATTTTGCTGTCTAGTATTCTTGATTTGTCTACCTCGGCTACTTTAATAGCGGCATCAAGCTTACAGCCCGATAATTCGGCAGTTCGTTTGGCTTTAATAATCAGGTTTATAAAGAAAAACTTTACACTTCTTTCTTAAAAATTCACTTTTTTTTTTTTAAAATATGCGGGATTTTCCGTGATGAGAATTTCTCGGATTAAAAAACAGCCGGGATCCTGTTGAAGAAACACTAGTCACAGTGATAGCAGCATTTCCAAGTTACATGCTTACATAAATATATGATACAGTAGGCAATATACATGTATATAATAAGCTATAGTCTATTCAGTCATACCCCAATTATGAAACTGATCGTCTAGCACAGTGTTTCTCAACCTCTAGCGAATCGTCGCCCCCTACAACGTAGTATCGCCCCCTTCAATAAAACCGTTACGTAGTATCGCCCCCATCACTTCAAAATTCCGATGCCCAGGGCCAAGGCTAACGCCAAATTCGTACTGCATTGAATAGACTAGTGACTAGTATAATGTTATTTGTTTAATTATTGTACGATATAACGAATGAAATATCTAATTATTCTTAATATAATGTTTTACTATATCGCTCAGAAAATTGTTTTTCGCCCCCAAAATATAAATTGTTACTAATCGCCCCCTCAACATGGAAAAACGNTAAGAATTTATTATTTAGGGTAAATCTCTGCTTTGGATAAGATAACTATAGACTACATACATTATAGTTTATAAAACACCTTTTAAAGATATATTCTTTGTATAGGCCAATCCAAAAATATTTATTAAGATTACGTTAAATTCCATGTCAAACAGTTTACATTAATGTAACATTTCATAAAAAGAAAATTTTATTTTATAGAGTTGTAAAAATTGTACTCCTAGAACCTATTTCCGGTGTGACAAAAAATTATTGTTGATAAAGAATTGTATTACTAATGTAGAAGACAGTATTATATAAAAATTATGGAACAATGAATCAAGATCATCTAGAGCAGTGTTTCTCAACGGGGGCGATATCGCCCCCGTTGAGAAATACTGGTCTAGCAAGTAAAAATAAACGTTTCCATTATAATTTACAGCAAACAAGATCCTTAGCAAAAAATTCAAAAATATGAAGGATGCATACAAGAGGGAACTGTCAAAGCTACAAAAGTCAAAGTCCTCTGGAGTGGGCACCAACAATGTGCACAAAATCAGATTTATGTACTTCAACCAGATGGATTACCTGAGGGACTACATGCAGGCAGACGAAAATGAGGATACCATCAGCCTCATCACCTCCCTTGAAAATGTAAGTGCGAACATAATGTAGGATACATAACTGTATGGTATGATGGTGGCAACAGTATAGTTGCTAACCTAGAACACTAATTGTCTCACAATTTTCTATAATTTGGTAGCTGTCTATTCGTTCTTATGTATATGTCTCTTTAATCTAGAAAAATTCCGGTAGACTACCTTACAGCTTCAAGGTCAGGAACATTATTTATTGAAATTGATATTTCAATAAATAATGTTCCTGACCTTGAAGCTGTAAGGTAGTCTACCGGAATTTTTCTGGATTAAAGAGACATATACGTAAGGACTGTTGTCTCCTTGTACCAGTGGCGTACCGTGGGTGTCAGCCGCCCGGGGCGGAGGAAAATTTCGGCCCCCCTTATTTAGGTATTTCAATTTAAAAGACCAAAATTCAGTTTTGTCAAAGAACAAGCAATGAAATTCCGTGCTAGTGCAGCGACCTGTTTAAAATAGTTCTATTGGATATTAGTGGTGTATATGAACGCGAATGAATCGTACAAAAAAAAGAGGTCAACAGGTTTCGCAGGATTTCGTCGGATTAAAAATTACTGGTTCACCCGGACGGCGAGCCGACTCCCGGACTGTCCGGAGTCTATACTATAGCACTATCGTAGGCGCGATGCAAGTATACGTTAGGATGTTTCAAATTTTTACAAGATATTATTATTATTTATTGTGCAATTTTTCCGCCCCCTAAAAGGTAATTTTGCCGTCCCTGCCGCCCCACTACGGTACGCCACTGTCTTGTACCAATTATGGATGATTTGATGTACGAATATCACATTCTTAACCGTATTGTAGAGTACGTACATGTCTAATGCAGTGCTGGTATTGATTTCAGGACAAGTGTAGTCAACCCATAGTTACAGAAGCAAATGAGTTCCAAGAGCTATCTTTCACCGTAGATCAAAGCATGCAGCCAAATACCTCAGCAAGTAGCCATGCTTCAATGAACTCAGGAAGCCGTTCAGTAACGCCAACATCAAACAGTCAGTGGTTTAATCCCCATCCGACGGATGATGGAGTTACAGTCGGCGGACAAGATAAAAAAAGAAAGCGACAGAAGACATCACATGTGTCATCTTCCTCTCTTCGTTCCGAGCTCTATAAAAGGGCTATAGACTACCTGGTAACCAAGCCCAACAACCCCCCAGCATGTGTAGAACAAAATTTCGGTAACCACGTCGCCCTCAGCTTAATGAACATTAGTAAAGATCTGCGGGAAGAAGCAAAATACGAAATACAGGGTATTTTGTTGAAATATTACAAACAATCAAGGACTAATTCTTAAAGCAATAAACTAACATTTGTTTGGCGATGCATTAGTCTACTTTATAATATATTGTTTAATATATGTTTGTTTTATTATATTACGTTTAATGCTCTCAATTGTATTGTACATAAACAATATCTGATACACAAACCGATATTGCCAGTATACTGCAACAACATCGGACATGAAAAATGTTTTGAAGTTATCTCTCACAGCTTTCGCCTCTGCGTTGTGAAAATTGGAGTAAGTGATTTGAAAATGTGGAGGCCGAGGGGGGAGAAATTAAAAACTCAATGAACGATAATATGTGATATATATCGTCATCATCTCCCTTGCCGTTTGGATTGCCGAGCGGTAACAATCAACGACATGTGGAAGCAGTTGAGTCAGAGATAGTTGCTTCGTTTACAAACAACACAACCGTTTATTAAACACGAAAGAAGCTTACAAGATTTCCGCGATCTTGGAAGTTCTGTGGGTCTTCCTCTCCTATCCAAGATAGTCCCATTTTGAAGGAGTGTCCCTTGTTCGCGAATGAACCATTCCATCATGTCTCGACGACTCCGGGACGATGCGGTCGCCTTCCGTTGACGGAAAGATGTCGATCCGAGGTCCGGGAGATGGAGACGAAGATGGGTGCGAGACACACACACAACAACAGATCCGTCACTTGGAACTTTCGGGAGAAGAAGTCGTCGCGTCCTTGAATTTCCGGGGTTTTATCCGTTTTCTCTCAGATTCCCCTTTCCGATTGGTTTCTCCTCGTCACATGATGACAATTCGAAACCTTTTGGGGCGCGGGAGAGGTCAAAATCGAAGTTTAATTCGATCTCCAACCTGAAATGGTCGACGGACTTACATTCTTCTATTGTTTAAAAGTTAGCGTCGCGTTTTCATAAAATAAAAATCTATTTCTAACTACTATATATTTTTTTCTCTAAAACAATTATTTTAGCGCGAATATTAGTGAGGGTTCGGACCTGTCCAGAGCCTCACATTCATATAAAAGTCTATTTCCAACTACTATATTTTTTCTTTAAAAAAATTATTTTAACGCGAATTTTAGTGAAGGTTCGGACCTGTCCAGAGCCTCACAAAAATTCCAAAAGCGCTCTCCACCACTTGGTGGCCACGTGAAATTCTAAAAAACAATCAAAAGATATGTTTAATCCAACTACTGCTCTACCTACCAGTTTTCCAAGATCACAGATTTTTTTATTATCCTATCAACCCTTTTCCACTGATACAATGCTGAAAGATATACAGTTGCATTAGCCACTGAATGCATATCTGTAATTGCATATCCATTCTTCCAGAGTCAAGTCATTTCCACCATAAGGTTTGAGAATATACGGTTTCAATCCAAAAGCGTCATCGGCTACGAAGACATGGAGTGGATATACTGTATCTTGATCTGGAAGTGGATGGGCTAGAGCAGTGTTTCTCAACGGGGGCGATATCGCCCCATGATCCATGTTCAGGGAGCGATTAGCAACAATTTATATTTTGGGGGCGAAAAACAATTTTCTGGGCGATATAGTAAAACATTACATTAAGAATAATTAGATATTTTTTCATTATATCGTACAATAATTAAACAAATAACATTATACTAGTCACTAGTCTATTCAATGCAGTACGAATTTGGCGTTAGCCTTGTCCCTCCGCATCGGAATTTTGTAGTGAAGGGGGCGATACTACGATACGGTTTTATTGAAGGGGGCGACGATTCGTTAGAGGTTGAGAAACACTGGGCTAGAGGCATGTCAAGAGCATTTACATCTACAAATTCCTTCAAGTTTGCAATTGTTTCATACACCATCGCTGATTCGTATGCCAACGTCAACATATCTAGAAAATGTAAAAAAAAGAACCACCGGAAGTAATCAACGTTGTTGGAAATGCACTTGTTTTCTATTTTGATGTACACATTTTTGTTAACAAGATGTTGAAGTCCAGAATAGACTTGTTTATTAATTAACCTTCTGCACATCAACTTACCGAAATGTATAATTTGCATCCACAACTGCTAAAAGGACAATGGAGTCTGTTCCTTTGTAATTATGGTAATGAGAACCACTGTTGATTGGCTTCTTCATCACAATGTGCTTCCCATCAATAGCCCCCAAGCAATGTGGCACATTCCACCGATCTTCAAACAGCCATCCAGTGTTCTTTTGAGGTTGGTACTTGAAATGTATATTTCAAGGTCTCGTGCAAAGCTGCACATGTTTCCATGATTATGTTGGATACGATTTTTTCACCAATTCTAAACTCCCATGTTAAGTCTCTAAACGTAATTCCTGTGGCTAAAAACCGGAGCGTAACAGTGAGTCTCTCAGCAGGAGATATTGGCTCCTCAAACTTTATCGTTTGCTTCTGAATTCTGGGGGAAATTTGGTGCAAAAGATGCTGAAACTGGTTTTCTGTTATAGCAGCCACTCCTGGAAATAAACATGCAATTTGTTAAACCAGTTAGGGACTTGTGTTGGAACAAACCTAATATTTGCAAAATACTCGCAAATATTTTTATAAATTTATTTATTTTTCATCATCATAATTTCACAATTTCTACGAAAATAGGACAAATTAATAATTAATCCGGGCCACGAATTTGAAACAGAACAGAGGGTCCTCGCCCGTTCGAGGTCTTGTTACTGCGACTTTACCATAGACGGCTCTTTTTAGACAATAATGTTAATGAAATCATAGCTATTTCATAATACTAATATTATTCATTTATTAATTTATTATTTGAATCCACCCTGTGGGCACTAAGAGAGGCCTTTTTATCAAGCTGTCAGGTATACAATGAATATGTTTTGGAGAAAAAGGTCAAATCGGGAATTATTTCATAATAATAAAAGCGGGTTGCGTTTATTTCAAATACAGCATTTTAATCTCTTGTCCATCCGGCCATGTTTGTATACGTTTATAAATTTATAATTAAAACAAGTAAAACGGCAAAACCGTATTTGGAACAAGACTATGTCTCGGAGACTCACTACTAAGCGGAATCACTTTGACGCTCAAGGCGGGTCTCGTTCTCATTCTCCAATCTTCTTTGATATCGGTGCTTTTGGACGCGACCATTGAACCTTTGCTGGCCATAACCACGAGGGCGTCCACGATGTATTTTCGATGAAATTAACCTATCCAATTTCGAAATTTCTCTCCGTTGCGTGTCGGCCTGGGTTGAATTTTTGTCGATGCATAACGAAAATTTTCCGTTTTTGAAAAAAATAACCGTGGCTATTGTATCGTCCGAAATTATTATTTTTTTATTTTCACAAACAATATACAGTTTAACCCGATTATAACGTCATCGGATGTAACGACAACCCTAATATCAGGGCCGTGCCGTGGTATGAGGCAGAGATGCGGCCGCATCAGGCAGCACCGTGAGGGGGCAGCATAAAAAACATTTAAGGGGCAGAATTTCAAAGACTTGCATCATACATAGAAAATCTACCGCACGGCCCTGCCTAATATAACGTCAAATTTTTATCGGTCCCACGATTTGACTATACTAGATAATGTTAAAAAACCTACTTGTAACGACACCCTGTTTTAATGTCATATTTGAAGCACTCCCAAATTTACAAAATTAGATTACAAATTTTATTTAACATAGAAGAAAGAAACTACGTGTTCACTCCTAAGGTTAGAGTTCACTTCTTAGAATGACTTTTTTTATTTTTATTATTATACTTTTTAAAACTCTTTCCGCCCTGTGGGCACTAAGAGGGCCTCTTTTTTGCAAGCCCATTATGGGTTCGGCCAGACCCACAATGGGGCTGCCGGGTGGTGAGAGACGGGGCCCGACATATCCGAACGGACCACCCCCCGAAAAACTCCTGGGGATTTTTCGACCCGTTTGGATTCGAACCCGGGTCCCCCAGAGCGGTAGGCTTCTTAGAAGGACTATGGGTGGTCTGGTGGTACTCTGCCCTACCTGACTTCGGTGGGGTGATGTAGCTGTTTTGCCTGTTTGTAGAAGAGGGTCGCCATTTTGTATTTTATTTTGACTCGATTCTCGGTCCCCTGACTACCTACGAGTCTGGATTTTTTTTATGCGCAAATGATTTGGGTACTTAATACCCTGTGCCAAATATCAACTCTCGACATGTACTCCTTCATATCTCTATGCTGGTAAGAAAATCGTGCAGTACGATTTTATAAACAAGACATAATCTTGTCAATTAAACAGTGATTCTAAATATAATTAATGTAATAAATAATTTATTATAATTTATGAATTTATCATCATACTTTAACAAAACAGATAAAATATTTAAAATAATTTAATAAAATATTTTGGCTACAATTGTGCGGTAACCATTTCGTATCGGCGAAGAGGAAATGCGTCATCGAACGTCACCGGAAATTGTATTACGTTTGTAGGATGATGTGTATTAGGTTATGATGTGATGCAATTCGAATTTCGATCATTGTAACTTTTCTATTTTTAATGAAATGTTCTCGAAGACGACGAATATGGAACGAATTTCAGTGTGTGTTTTAGCTTTTCTCATTCACTTATCATTTGCTGTTGCGGGTAAGTTTTTATACGTGGAAAAATATGGGTTAAGATACATTCTATTTGTATATCCATATATATATATATACTGTATATATAGAATAATGACCTAAAGAATGACCTAAATCTACATCTGTTCTACAGAATAGAAAGTTTGCTTGTGTCGTTTTCTCTTTGTTTTATAAACAATGCAAATTATTGTGGTACCTCAGGATACAAAATTAATCCGTTCCGAATCTGATATCGTATTATGAAAATGTTCGTAAAGTGAATCATTTTTCCCCATATGATTACATGTAAAACCAAATAATTCGTTCCAACACGAAAAACACACACAAATTAAAGCTAAGTAGTATATTAAAAAAAAAATAACTAACTATAGTAAAGAAAACACTGAAAAATGCGTTTTGTAGTTGTAAATGTATAAATAACCATAACATAATAATAACTGATTAAAAAAAATGTAGTTTTATTTGCACTTTACCTTTGACGAGTAGGGTTGCTAACTCAAAAAAATAAAAGTAGCTAAAAGCAAACAAAAAACTCTCTAAAAATAGCTAAAAATTTTTCAAAATTTGCTAAAAAAATAGCTAAACAAAAAATGAAAACCAACCTTCAATTTTTAACTTATTTTTAACTTTATTCAAAAAGTCCATTCGTTGCTAAATTCCATTATTTCTTCAATTTCTTCATTATGTTCGAAAGATGGTCCTACTTCAAACTGAAAATTTTGGTATAATTTTATATAGTGCCTATTTTTTGAATGATTTTGCTGGCAATTTATAATCATAGTTGCATTTCCCTAATCTTTTCAAACCATATCTTATCGTTAATATGCTACGGATTAAAATAATATTCAATCTATTTCGCAGTTTGGTTTTAACAATATTCATCTGACTAAACAAATGCTCTACTTCTGCATTTGAGTGAGGTAATAAAAAATTTTAAAACAAAATTGACCAATTGAAAGGGATTTTCTCTGGCAGCATCTTGGTATTGAGCTACTTTCATCCACAGGTTTAACGTGCTGGAAGTTTCTTTCCACTGGATTGCATGGATTTTCCTCCATTGAAAGTCAATGCGAGTTAATACTGCATCATCAGTGAAAAACAAGGTTTATTATATTACTTTTTGCAAGGCTTATTATATCACTTCTAATTGGGTTGAGACAATACTTAGTGACATCATGGTTTTCAAAATTGATGTATTGTCAGGTAACATTTGCCAAAGTTGTTTTATAAGAGAAAAAAGGAAGGCAATGCAGCGACTACGAATATTTTTCTTTTCTTCGTCTAACAGTGCAGAATTGTTTATTTCAGTTTCAAACTGATAACCCAAATATGGATTGAGTGCTAAATGGTTTTATATCACTACATCATTTATTATTCTTGGAATAACAATCTTAGAACAAGATTCTATTAAATTTAGCAAGTCCCGTAGCAACTTCGTAGGATCATTATTCTCAGATTCAAATATTTTATTTAATCTTTGAACTTCATCAAGTACAGGTTTAAGAAATAAAAGAAATAAGAAATTTCTTTGATCATCAAACATTGAGAACAAAATTTCTGCTGTATAACATCTTTCATTTGTTCTGGCCAAATTAAAATTTGCCTTTAAAATCATTCCATTATTTCAAAATTTTATCGATAACGGTCTGAATTGACATCCAGCGAGTCTCACTACATTGTACTAATTTCAATGGTTCATTTCCATCATTCATCAAAGAATAGAGTTCATTGTATTTGGATTGTAATCACAGAATGAGAAAACCAATTAAATGTTTCTTTAATAAGAAATTCTATATTTCTTGGAAGGTCTTCTTTTGTAGCGTGGGAAATAGCTAATTGTAATGAATGAATGACTTTCAGTTTAGCATATAGGCTATTATTGCTTCCTATCATTATAGAAGCATTATCTGTTCCAATTGCAACGAGTTTATGCAAATCCAAGGCATTATTTCTCAAGGAAAATTTAATTGCTTCACAAATTGCATCAGCATTGCACTCTTTAAGTGATACTAAATCTAAAAAATTTGTAGTTATGCATTTTTTTATTCTGAGAGTAATATCTAATTACAATACCTAAAAGCTTAGAAACTGATATGTCATTACTTTCGTCACTTAGTAAACTATAGTTGCTATCACCTATATCAACTATTAAGTTTTCTTTAATGTGTGGTGCTAAAACATTTGAAATTATGGCTTAACATTTTGTTCTTCCAAGAGTCAGATTATTATAACTTTTGCTGTCTGAAAAATTTGTTGTACAGTATTTAGTTAGTTTGTCTACATGACTTATAGGATAACTTTCTGCTACAAGAAGTGCCATATTTCTCTCTGTTCTATGAACATTCGAGCTTTTCATAAACGGAAGAATATTTTCACTCCGCTGAACACTAAATAATGGTTTGGCTTTATGTTTTTGAGTTTTCCTATGCTTTTCTAAATCACTTACTTTTGCTATCAAAATGTTTTCACTCGGACAGTTTGGGAATTGACTCACTGTCCAGGTGAACTATTAATTTTGTCTGGGAATTTTGTAGAAATTGTGAAATTATGATGAAACAAAGTTCTTGCAAATAATTTTTACAAATTTATACTATTTTAATGACAAAAGAACTCACACTCACTGAAACTCCTCTGCATTCTGCCATGTTAGTCTGTTTACATCGACATGTGGTGTGCAGCAACCTGTTGACTTTTTTTTTTTATGTACAATCGTACACGTCTCAAATAGAGCTAAATTATCTGTACACTGTAACTGATTTGCATGCACGTTATTCTTCGCATTGTAAAATGACATTGCGCATGCGTCAGGAACTTCTGTTCGAACAAACCTGACCTCCTATCTGGGTCAGCGATTTTGAAAAGGTGGCAATACTAGTAACTTATAAGGATTCCCAAAGAAACTTGAGCGCTGGTTAGTGTTGCCACTTATTAAAAATAATATTTGCAACTCATGCACATAATTATTGCGCATTAAAGATAATATAAATGAAGAAATGTATTAAATTTTAATAGTTTTATGAAATTTTTTGATTTTGTGGAAAATATCTAAAATGTAGCTAAATTTACTAAAAAATCTCTAAGAAAAATCTCCGTCACTAAATATAGAAAAAAGGCGCTAACTAAAGCAAAAACTCGCCAAATTTAGCGACTTTTTCACTAAATTGGCAACTCTATTGAGGATAGACGACGGTGGTGTAAACTGGTGGCAGAGGAGGGGAAGAAGAGAAATGATACTAAAACTTAAAAATAATTTAGAAAAAATAAAAAAAATTAGTGTTGTTTTATATATATATTTTTAATTCTTATTCAATGCTTTTTGCTTTCTTTCCTTCACTTCCAGCAGCACTTTCACTGGATAGAGGTCGCTTGGTAAAATATCTATCCAAAGAGGTTTGGCTTTGCCTACTTTTTAAATTGTTTCTAAAATGACTTAGGCAAATGTCATTACTCTGAGCAGCAATACGGCCAGTGTGAACCTTTTCGGGATGTTTCTTTTCAATAAAATCAGTCACTTTCTGATAATACCTCAAGATTTCCTTTATCGAGCGAGATCCTTCCACGACGAAGCAAACACGCGGACTGAGACCAATGAACAGAAGTGAATAAAAAATGGCGCTGCGAACTAATGTAACGTCGTATGGTGAGTTTTTGTTCGTATCGTGGAGCAAAAATATGTTCGAATTTCATGTCGTATCCTGAAAATTTCGTATGCTGGGGCATTTGTATCCTAAGGTACCACAGTACTGTACACCATCAAATGTGTGAGTGGATCCTCATTCTATAGAGATTTTACATGTTTCTGAATTATACTTTTGCCAAAATTTAGATAATTTGCCATATCATATCATCTGTTACAATGGTTATTAGGAATTAAAACTGTTTTATTTTCCTATAATAGTTCAATTTATTCGGTACTATATAATTTTAAAATGCTTTTAATTAAAACATTTTGTATTTTACGAAATTAACTGGGCAAAATTCAAATATTACGGCATTACTAGAGATATGGGTACGGCTGCCAACTTTCTTCCAAAAACAAGGGAGGACGTTCGTAATGAAGTTGTTATGAATATAATTTACAGTTAGCCATAGAGGTAATTGTTTCTTACTGTTATGTGTTTTCTTTTAATTTGTTGTTTTAAAAAACGTGTACAGACGACCTCCCCATAACACTGGTGATAATTCTGTTTTATATGAATTCCATGTACAAGTCACTTAGATTTTACAAATATGTGTACCAGGCTGTGAATGGCTCATGTATTTGTAAAATCTAAGTGACTCGTACAACATGGAATTAAGATAAAATGGAATTATCAACAGTGTTATGGGGGGTCAACTGTATTTGATAGACGTTTCCAAAATCTGTAAGATTATTTGGTGCTGACCCATATAAAAAGCACTGCAAACAAATGAATCGTACATAGGACTACTTACTGACTCTGCTCGTTTGGACTACTACTGTTTTTGTTGTGGACCAGCATGGCAGATGCATACAAAATGTGCCACATGACGTGGTTTTAATGTTGCTCAGTCATGAGACTACATAGAATTGTCAGCATGAAACGTCTCCGACATATTTCCCAAGAAAATTTCGTACTCTGAAGAGTCCATGGACCGCAGTTTGATAAATGTTACATTTGTTACATTCTGGTAATACTGTAACATTCTATGACAAAATTCGCCACCTTAAGATTTGATAAATTCCCACTGTCGTCTGTGTGTCTGTTTGTCCTTCCTTAATCTTGAAAACAGTGTAGGATAGATGAGAGTTGAGCGTGAGAGAAAAAAGAATAAATTGACCGAAAACGGCATTAAGGGGCTTTTTTAATTCCTTTGCTAGCACTTTTGTTATTAATATAAATATTGTCATCAGGCAACTGAAATAGATTGCTTTTTCAGAACAAAACTTATTCTTATTTCTCTCAAGCAAGTGTGTTGGTGTGACTTCCATACTACATTTTTATGTTATTTTATGAGAGTCAAGACCGGGTAGGAAAAGCTTAGGGGCAGGAGTCTGTGATTAACTATATATGAACTACCAGTCTGGACTGGAAATCATGTAATTTCAATTCAAAAATTTTCCCCAGAATGGAGTTACATGCATGACTCTTGTTATCAGTAAAAGTATAATGTACTGTACAGGGCAAGACACCACTAATTTCAGATTGAGAACGTATATTTTAAATTAAATAGCTTAAAAATTGCAGCCCAGCATTGTGACAATGTCTGAATAAGTTTTGCTTGTCTTTCTCATAATTTGTTAATGGTTTATCATAACCCTTTGTTTCACTAGAAGTTGACTGTTGTTTCAAACTTTAATAGTTTTTGTATTTATGGCTTACCAATGTTGTCAAAAATGCATCTTCCTTTCATCCCTTGGAAATAATAGCTTTAAACCAAAACAACCTTTTAAAAATAATGCCCAAATCTATGATTTTTGGACACATTTTGTCTGTTTTTGTCATTTTATTTATTGTATTTTTTCTATTTAAAATTAACTAAAACCAATAATTGTACATTACTAAATATATTTTATTGATAAAACATTATTTTCAGTTAATAAAATTTAAAAGTTAATGAATGAAGTTAATGGTGATGTAAGACTTTTCCTATCATATTTTGCTATTGGCAAGCACCAAATCCAATAAGAGGGCACTGATTTTGAGCCAAGATGGCTGCTGAAGCAGATAAGGAACTGACCATGTGTTTGTTCAGTGCCTTAGCCGATTCAGTTTCTATCAGTGACGACTACTGCGAAGACCAAATGGAGAACAAATCATTGAATTTATGCCAAATTCTAGACTATATCGGTGACAGGAAACGTTGTCTTGTAGAAGGTGAAGCCGCTTTGGATGCTGGACACATCGTATTTTGTGGATTAAACTCTAACAACAACACCAAAGTTCATGTTGTTGCTTTAGTGTTGCAATCTCAGATATTGGCATTTTAATACATCTCAATTACAGGGAGAATGCACGTGCAAAACGGGGCTGTCTGGTTTTTGTAAACATGTGATAGCATGTTTATTACACGTTAACAGGTGAGAAGTATTTAAATATTTTAAGCAGTATACACCATGTTCCAATATAAAAACATAGTTTTATTTATCAGAATAGTTAAAATTAGTTCCAATCTGAAGGTTGCCCTGCTGAGTCATTCAGCACTTATACAACATAGGCCAGTCAAAAGTTTGTAGCACACATTATGTTTTGTGTGTGTGTGTGTGTACGTCTCATATATCCAAAATGGCTTCACCTTCTTCAAGACAACGTTTCCTGTCGCTGATATAGTGTAGAATTTGACATAAATTCAATGATTTGTTCTCCATTTGGTCTTCACAGTAGTCGTCACCGATAGAAACTGAATTGGCTCAGGCACTGAACAAACAGGTGGTCGGTTCCTTGCCTGTTTCGGCAGCCATCTTCGCTCAAAAAAGCGCCCTCTGTCGGATTTTGCGCTTGCCAATTTTGACTTTTAACCAATAGATTAAAACGTGATTCCATGAAATTTATTATGAAAGATGAAATGTAACTTGATTTGTGATGTAATAATACAAATTTGATGACATATATTATAATAAATTTAAAGTAAATGTACTTCTTTGAGATATAATTTAAATAGTAAATGAATATATGTATATATGTATAACTAACGTAAGTGTGAAAATAAGAGCCAGCATATCTTATTATCTTATCTTTTAATCTATTAGTTAATATGTAAAACAAAATTTCTAATTTTACATTTAAAAATTTTTTAAAGGATCAGACAGAGTTAAGTTAACAGAATTAAAAACCATTACCTTATATTCTGGAAGATTAACAAATGGTAGAAGAAGTGCTCCGATTCCTCAGTTAAAATGTGTCGGCGGCAGTGCTGGTTGTTCAGTTTTCGTTCCTAAAGTTGTACAGTGTTACAATAGAGGATCCGATGGATATGATGTTCAGGTAAAAAATAAATAAAACTATTATTTGTGTAGTTGGAGTATTTTCAAATAGTTTAAAGCTATATATAACTAAATATATAAAATTAGATTTACAAAAATTATGTTATATAACAGGGGTGGCCAACCTGCGGCTCGCGAGCCGCATGTGGCTCTTTGAATGATTATTTGTGGCTCTCGATAAATGTACCCGAGTTCCCTTTTCATTTTTGTATTATTATATTTTTAAAAATTATTATTGTTCGGTATGTGTTTCAAAATGTCTTTTAAATTACTAACAACAAATATGAAAGATTAAGTGCAACGTTGTAACAAATTTCATTTCCGTCCAAGTTAAGAATGATATGACTCATGGAAAACTGCGCGAATGAACATAAACAGTGGCGTAATCGTCCGTTATCGACCGACTCCAGACCGATTTTGAATTTGTAAACTGTCATTGCAATGGACAGCTGACATTGTGCTCTGGAAGAAACAATTTGTATCACTCTTGCTACGGATATAATTTGTAATCTGGAATTTTTTGCATACCTTTTTAATACGTATTTAATTGCGGCTCGCGAAAAATTTCAAATTTTGAAAAATGGCTCAGACTATCAAGAAGCTTGGCCACCCTGGTTATATAACCTTCATCTCTTATATTAAACATAATAAGTAAATAAATAAATAGATTAAGATTATAAAAGATTAAGGATTCCAAGATCTTTTATTGATTTCTCAAATAAGAATATTGCTAAAACTTTTAGAGATCCCTAATCTCTACAGAAGATTTTTAGTATAAATTATTATAAGGAAATTTTGATTAAAAAGAACTGAAAGTTTTAGGTATAAAAACAAAATCAGTAAAATATTTTGAATGTGCTCAGACTCTGTAATCTCACTCATAAAATATTATTATATTTTATTACAGTATATTAATATAAAAGTTAAACAACTGCCATTATGATTGTATTTCTGTAAATCCTTTGTCATTGCAGTGAAGATCATTTCAAAACTTTTCTTACATCATATATGACCTATAGAATGATACATTCATTTTTATCAGATTTGATTGGAATATATTATTTATTTTTCATAAATAATAATAAATAAAAATATTGATACTTTAGAATAGAAACTTAAGTAGAGGCAGTTCTTGACTTTAGGACAATGTGTATTTTTTTAAAATAATATTTCGATACTTCTAAATTGCTTAATTTCTACATCAAATTAGGACTTTTGTACATTTTCAACCAACAAATAAAAATTCTGAACTATCATGCAAGAACTGTCAGTTTTTTGTTTCACTATCAAAATCAGAAACTTTAAAAAATCAACACAAAATGTGAAAATTTAATTTAAAATTTTTAAGAAAACTCATTGCAAGGCAGTTCTCAAATTGAGTAAAGGAATATCACCAAATTGTAAATTTATCATCAATAATTTACTCATTTTCATATGATATAATAAGAAAGAAATATAAAAGTTAGTGCTCAAGATTAGATTTTTGTAATGTAATCAATTTCTGCTGTTTTCATTATGTTTTCAAATTAGAAGCGATTATGAATTTTATTGAATAATTAAGGACACAACATCTTATAAATAAATAATTTAGTGAACAGTGTTGCTTACAATTAATTCTTAAATAAGTCTTCCAGATTAAGATATGTATTATCAGAATTGAAGAAATTACTGTTATTAAAATCCTTCAAAAATACTGAAGTCAGCTGGAATAAAATGAGTTATCAACACATGTTTGTACAGATTTTCTGATGAGATGATAAATATATATGAAATATTGGAAAGGAAGTGACAAAGGAAAGTTCTGATTATCTGAAGGCTGTAAATAAATTTTTTAAAATGAATTTTTAGCTTTGAATTAGTAATATGTCATACAATTATCATCATCATTAATAATAATTATTATTAATATTAATAAATATCAATTTTGTATGATACAATAGATAATATTAATTTCAATACATCAAAGTTAATGCTGAAAATTTATTGGTAATTTAAATTATAAACTGGTTTCTAATAAAATAAACAAGCGTTATATTTTAATTTACTATAAATTATTGTGCTGCTCTTTACATATCCTCTAATTAGTAGATAATTTCTGTGTATTGATTTATTTTGATCAATTAGATATAACATTCAAATTTAAGAATATTTCAACACTTTATAGAATATCATCTAGAAGTTAGAACAAATAAGTGAATATTTTATTCACAAAATTAGTTTATCAATTCAGTTAACAACTAAAATTATTAAATTTTCTTTTGATATATTTATTTCTAGATTTATTCTTTGTATTGTATACACTAGTAATTTTCAATATTTTATTCATCATGGTACACTTTTAATAATTTAAAAATTTGGCGTCATACACATTTACTTTAGTAAGTACCGCATAACAGTGATTTTTAAATGCAGTTGGTTATTTAGGTCACATTTTCTAAATGTCCTAGTAACTACTGGCAGTTACCGGTAACACCAATTACAATTTCCAAACATGCCCTAGAAATGTAGAATTGATTAAACTACTTGTCTGATGTCACTTATGAATATTTGCAGTGGCGGCACACTTCAAAAATCTTGCGGCACAGTGATTGAGAATCACTGGTATACACAGTGGAAGCTTGATTATTAAACTTGATGAGACCAACGGTCTTTCAGATAAATGAAATTTCAAATAATCCAGAAATTTGTGTTTTGGGTACAACATTCACTGTGCATTTAAAGTTTCATAACAATAAATATTGTAATGCAATTACTTTATATGAAAGTTAATGAATTTACTCAAAATCTAATGTAATTTTATGCATATGACTTAGTTTCACAGCAATACAATTGACAGATAATGTAGTGATTTTGAGTTATATCAGAGTTTGATCTGTGTATAATACTCTGCAGTATGCCCAATACTGTACTGTACTGTACTGTACATTCTTGTTGTTGTTAAGTGTTTCAGATAATTCAGAGTTTTGAATAATTGAGCTTCTACTGTAATTAAATTACTAATAAAAATGTAATTTTTGAAAAAATTTTAAGTTATTTTATTAAAAACTATTTTTAGTGGGAATGCAAGACAGATATGGATAATGACTACAGATTTGGAAGTGTAGAAGTTCTTTGTGAAGGATATGATTATCCCAATGATCCATATATATTAAGAGGATCGTGTGGAGTAAGTAATCAAATTCAATTTTTTTTTAAATTAGTATGTCTGTACAGGAAAAATTGTTGAAGGTTTTGTACATTTTGATAACAATATACTTTTATTTTAGAAAATTTGTAAAATGTTTTAGAATATTGTAAATTCTATAGAGAATGTGGAGGATTTTATCTTAAACAATTTTTTAAAATTCTGTTATAGAAAAAACTCTATTATTAAAAAACTATAGTAGTAGCCATGGAAAATGCATCACCTATGATATACCAAAAAGCATTCAACAGATGTGCAAAGTAGTATTTAAGCTATGATTACAGTTTGCAATGAAAACATATGTGGTACAGAGAAGAAAACAAGAATAAACTAAGTGCAATTTATTATATATAATACTACATATTGCTACTTAAGTAGTATTTCACACCATATCATTAATACTGTTCATGAGCACTATTGCAAGAACTTGTTCAGATATGGATGCAAAATAAAATAAGTATGCCTGAAAAACATAACATAAACAGTTATTTCTCATTTAATAGGACTTTAATATCATGTAGGACTATTGTAACCATTAATAACAGTTTTAAAACAACTATCTCTAATGTAAAGATATTTACTTTTCTTAATGAAAATAAAAATAATATGCAACAAAAATGTAAGCTCATACTAAAAATCCAAATAAAAATTACAGTTTAATATTTTGTGTAAGAACCTTTGGCACAAATTAATTCAAGGATGCAATTTGACATTGAATCATAATTTTTTAATACAATCCTGAGTTATTTCTTTCTAGGCATTGATAATTGCCATCTGTAGTTCTTGTGTTGTTGTAAATTGTTTTCCATTGCTGTACACTTTGCAAGAGAGCAATCCCCATAGATATTCTGTAAGATTTAATGCATGGGAATAATGAAGGACTCTGAAAACATTTAATTTTCTTTTTATTGAACTACATAAATATGATTTTTGCTGTGGTATTTCAGCATTCTCATATAGAAACTGTCATTTAGGGCCTATTATTAATCATCCAAACCAGGAAAATTCTTGTTTAATACTGAATGAATCCTTGAACATTCTACTGTCCACTAATAACTTCTAAATCACTTTTCTTGTATCGTATTGCTCCCCATATCATCACTGATCCACCTCCCATTTGTCTTCTATACAAAACTTTTTCTTCCTTAAGTTATGAAAATAATCAAAGCCATCTGGTTCCATATAGGTTAAATTTTTTTTTCATCACTGAATATATTTTGTCTGAGTGGTTCCATGACGTGTTTGTCATCTGGCAAATTCCAAATGTGCATCCTTGTACCTTGTCAAAAGTCTTGGTTTGTGCTTGGTTTTCTTTCTACTGAAATTGGAACTGGACCTCAATAGTCTGGACATTTCTAACATTAGTTTCCACAAGGTCTGCTAGGCAAATAGGCAAACCTTTTGGGAATTAGATGCACTTTGAAAAAATGACACATGCACTTCTATCATTAATTGCACGTGGTTTTTTTGTAATTTTCTTTAGGTCATAATTTATAGGAACTTGCAGAAATCTTTTAATTATTCAATGACTGTAATGAATTAAACATACGATTTTTCTATTTGACTTTTCTTCAGACTTAAAAGCCATCTGTCCTTTTTTAAATTCTGACAAATATTTTCCTTTGGCCATACTAACTGCACAAGAACTTGCTTTGTAAATTGCTGATAGTCATCAATAATATATCTTTGGTAATGTTGGAACATGTATGCATATTATACTGCATGAATTATAGAGATATGGAAATGAGCTTATATTTTTGTCACATATTATTTTTGTTACAAAAAATATATATATTTTTACACTAGAGGTCTGAAAATTTTACATTCTTGTATATTTTGTGCTAATGTATAGACAACTTGCAAAAAAACAAATTATTAGTGTTATATTTTATTATTATTTTCCTTAAATTGAAGTAAATACAGTAATTTAACTTCAATACATAAAATTAATCATAACTGCAAATTTTCTATCAATTCTTAGTGTTTGTTTTGGTGTGAGCATCTATGTCTATATACTACACATATATGATAATACGACAATTATATAAATACATTATTGATTTAATATAGATGATAAAAAGAATTTCAAATAACCTAATTTTACAGAAATCTAAATAATTTTTAAACTATTTCAGTTGGAATATACAATAGATTTTACAAAAGGAGGATCTCAACAAAAGTATAGTCACAATTATGGATCTAACTATTTCAGGTAAGTATCATAGTATAAAAGCCAGTTATAAGATTTGTTTTGGATTCAGATGATTTTGCATAGTTAGTTGATTTGAACGATTAGTAGGTGGTCTCCCTCTTTTTGTAAGTTTCTGCAGAGGTCCAGGATTAGATTCTATGCCAGACATTAGCAATACAGTAGAGCGTCGTTTATCCAAATCAATTGGGGACTGGGGTTGTTCGGATAACTTATTTTTCAGATAACCAATTATGTACGAAAAAATATATTAATTTATCCCGTGTTGAAATTTTTCTCCGTTGCATGTCGCTTTGTGTTGAATTTTCGTCAATGTTAAGTCCAACGAAAACTATTGTATCATTAAAAATTATTTTTTTATTTTGTACAAACAAAATAAATATATTGAAAAATATAAAAACAATAAAAAATTATACTTCAGAAGTTAATTTAGTATCAAAAACGTAAAATATTTGAGTAGCCGAAGACATAGCCAAAGATTACAGCGCCACAGCACTGGCGAAAATTTAAATTTGTCGACTGGAATTCCTTCGGATAAACGACGCTCTACTGTAGTAGCAAAATCAATTTATAATTTTTGTTTGCTATAATATAATTAATTATAGCAAACAAAAAATATATTTTGAGGTAATTATCAAGAAAAAAATGCCTTTGGTGAAGCAGAGAGAAAAAGTCGCCAACAGACTTGGCAATCCGAGCACCCCCTTAGTCAATTGAAATATTGATGCCAAGTGTAACACTGGACTGAAATGAAGGCATAGATTTTCATTTGATAAGAGAATTAATTGCACTTTGTGCCAAATAATGATCTAGTGTAATGTTATGATGTAACATAGTCTTACAGTGTTAATGCCATAAGACAGAATACATTACATCGTAACATTACACTAACATTTTATTTTTGGTTCTTTTCACTCTGTAGGCATTGAAACAGCTTCTTTTTTTTGCCCTCACTCACAGTTGGAGTGACTGAATGGTGGGGCCTGATGTATTGAGACTTATTGCCCATGACAAATTCCTGAGTAGCTCACCTGCATTTGATCTGTGTCCTAAAGAGCAGTAGCTGATGCCTTAACTGCCTGTCATCCAGCTGTCAAAGGCATAGCTTTTAAAGATAAATGTTACATTAAAAGCACACAAACATTTTGTGTATTGTTAGTTATCAGGAACTTTTTAATATATATTATCATATTAGTATATTTAGTGCATATGATTTGCAGTTAGTATGTTCATACATGATGATTTTTTTAGACTGTTATACAGGATGTCCCATTTTAATCAATATACAGAATTTCTTTAAAAAATTTAAAGAACAATAAAAAAAAAATGTTCATTCCATGACAAAAAGTTCCATATTCGACAAAGTCACTTCTCACAACAGACTCTTCTCTGTAGACTACTATTGGAGACAGAGCTTTATTTTTTTGTCATGGAATGAACATTTTTTAAAATTGTTCTTTTAAAATTTTCAAAAATTTAAAATGTCATGAGGTCCTGTTTTTACAATTTTTAAGAAACTGGTAAATACACAGAATCTTAAAATTTGCATCCTATGAATAAAATTTTCAGACAAAATTTGTACTGTATCAAGAAGGCCACAATATATCACTATTATTGGTGAAATGGAGTCAACTTTGTTCTCTTAAATGGGAACCACCATTTTTGAATTTATTGTGACAATCAAAAATAAACAAACCTTTTATCTAAAACATTTTTTCAAAAAAAATGCACTTATCAGAAGTTAAGTGTTTGAGCTGCCACACTGTGTGCATGTGAATTATTGAAAAAAGAAAGAAAAATGCATAAAAAAATTATTAGGAAACTACTATTATTTGGTGGAATCATGATCAGCATCATTTCTTTATTGCAAGCTGAATGACTAACATGCTGTGGCATGAGTTTTCTATAAGTTTTCACTGTTTGAAGAAAAAGAATGATTCTTTGAAATAATATTAGCAGCTTCCTAATGATTTTTTAAAACATTTTTCTTCTTTCTTCTCAATGAAATGTACAGAATCCACAGATTCACACATACACAGTGTGGTAGTCATATAAAACTTCAAACACACATAACTTCTAATAAGATGCATTTTTCAAAAAAAAAAATAAAAAATGTTTTATTTAAAAGTTTTTGATATAGAATCATAATATGCAATGGAAAATAATGGTTCCCATTTAAGAAAATGAAGTTGCCTCCATTTTCACTGATGATAATGCCATCTTGTGATCCCCTTGACACAGTACAAATTTTGTCTGAACATTTTTTTTGTACGATGTGAAGTTTTAAAGGTATTTCTGCATATTAATTAAAATAGGACACTCCCTTTATCTATTTGTTGCTGATTTTTATTATTATGATATAAATGTTGTGATGAATATTTAAGATACAATTTCTTGCCTCAAATATTACATAGACTTCAATGTGTAATTAAATAAAAACTTGTTTATTTTATATATATATATATTAATGCTAAACTAACTGTATTTTACAGATCTGGCAAAGGTACAACTTTGGGTGATATCATCATTTTAATCGTCATATTTATTATTATATATGCGATTATCAAAACATGTCTGTATAGAAACCAACACACTACTACATCCGATGATTATCCATCTCCTCCAAATGATGGCTATTTCAGTGGTGGCTTTTTCTCTTCAAGATCATCTTACACGGGACAATCGTCTCCTCCACCGCCTGGTTTTAGAACAGATTATGGTGGTGCAGGTAAGATTAAAAATATATTCTTTTTATTATAAATTATAATTCTTATTGTTAAATTTTGTGCTATATTCATTTAAAATTTAATTATTATTTTCTTCAAAGAATTTTTGATATTATTTGAATTTGTTAAATTTATTTATTAACATAGTCTGTTGCAGTTTAGTCATTAATGTATCTTTATATAAACTTTTGCAACATGAAAAAAATTATTTGAATTATTTCTTACTAAAACTTGTACAAATTGGAATAAAAACTAATTATTTGCTGTCATCAAATTTAATAATCTATTGGTATTTGAAAAATGAATTATCGAAAGTGTTTGCTGTAGCATGCATTTCTATTTTTTTTTTTTTTTTCTTAGATTGTGGTACTTCGACCAGATCACCAGGATCTTCTAGTGGTGGTGGTGGTTTCTGGACAGGCGCATTAACTGGTGGATTATTAGGTTATATGTTTGGAAATAGAAAGTAAGTAAATGTAATTTGTATAAAATTTTTTAAATAATTAGATAAATATCAATCATTTAAGTAATATAAAGCTGTATTCTGATATTCTTGCTTTTTTCACATTGTCTCAGGTCATAAATGTGTAGTGAATTCTTTTTATATAGTTTGAGTTCTGGAGTACATAATGTTAACTAAAATTATTGTACATGTATTTGAATGGAAAAGTTTGTTTTATAATCTTCAAAAATGATTAATTTTTAGTTAATTTATACTATATACTAATGCATTAGTGAATTTTCTGAGGAACATGAGTCATTAATTAAATCCTTTATTTAAAATTTTATTGTAGTATGACAAATAAAATTTGGTTTTGGAAAAAGAATTAATAATGTTTTATAAAACTTCTACCATTTAAAATCAGATTTAAATACAATAAATTACATAAATTTGTAAATCTATATTTAAAGTAATATAGTTTTACCTGAACTAAATTATAAATTACATGACAATTTTATGTTTAATAAAAATTTTTTGAAATTTTGCAAGTAATGTTTTATCTAGTTTTCTATGTAATGAGTTAGATTGTACTAATACATTCAAAGTCATATTCATGTTATAGATAAAATGTATTATTGATATCATTTCAAATAGATAGAAGTGAAATTATATTTAAAGTCTGTTTGCACAATTTTTTAGCAATGCTTACGGAGGATCGTCTTATCAATATCCAAGATACTCGCGTTATCAAGAGCCTACAAGCTTTTCGTCTGGCTTTTCAAGTTCGGAAACTCGAACGGCTTCTGGTATACTATATTTAAATTTTATCATCATATAGTATAAATTTCTATAAACATTTGATAATATATAAATTTATTTAGGTTTTGGAGGAACAAGAAGAAGATGAGTGCCTTTATTTAGTGGGTATTAATGTCACAAGTAATTGTATATAGCTAAGATAATGGACAAATAAAGCTGTGATAATTTACTACTTTGACAAAAGCAAAGATTTTAAGATCAGACATATTTATAATATTTTAAAAGATTAAAAAATATAATTTTTAAAAATAAAAGACGAGTAAATTAAGACACTCTTTCAAAAACCGACTTCGAGCAATTTGCATTAGCAGACAAACAGTAAATCAACAAAGATACTTTACTTTAACCAGGGTTAATTCTTTTATTTTCGTAAATTTCAAATTGTTTTCCAAATGCATTTCGCCGTTACAGCCTCTTCAGTGGATAATCAAACAACTAGACACCTGTTCCCTTTTATACAAAGGAACTTTTCCCAGCATGCATCAACGTTTAGACCGACATTCTGATTTAGTAAATTTGCATATTCTATTATACATAAATGTTCTACCACGCGTCTTTTAAACAAATTTTCCATTTTATACAATATTTTTATCGAACTTCTATTAATTTTACAGTTATAAGTAACACAATGTTGATACCATGGTGACTCTTGTCTTTTTAAACGAATCGCCGCCTCATGTTCTTTTAGGCGTATCTCGAGTTTCCGTCCTGTTTCTCCAACATATGATTTCGCTTGTAAGCAATCACATGATATCTTGTACACCACTCCTGCGACATCAAGCTGATTTCTTACTGTTTTCTGACCTTTGGTATTGATAATATTAATGATATTTGACATTTTATTTTCCTGCTTGGCAACTAAACATACAAAAGATTTTTTAAATAAAGGTTTATATCGTTCATATAAATTGTATATATAAGGCATTTTTACATAAATATTATTATCTACACTATTTTTAACATTATATCTGTAATTTATAAAAGAACTGTACCACTTACAAATTTTGTTCTTTGGGTAATCATTCATTAAATATTTTCTAAATAATTGTTTAATTTCTTTATCTATATCTTCCTGGAGTGTTGTTCTGTTTAATATTTTCCTCAATTCCATGGAAAAAACGTTTTTCTTAGTTTCTATAGGGCAATAAGATTTATAACTAATTGTTTTTTCTGTATTACANTTTCATTTTTGTGTTATTATATTTTTAAAAATTATATTTTTAGAAATTTTACCGATCTCATTGTTTTATATATTTTTATATTTTATTAACAATTTTAAAAGATGTTTTTTAATTCACAGTACTTTTCAGTACTGTGAATTAAACAGTAATTCAGTTTAATTCACAGTAAAAGTACTTTCATTAACACTGTACTATTATAACAACATATATTAAATATTTATGAAATGAAATGGTATGGTGTATTGTTTGAAATTATCATGATGTACAATCCAACTGCAACAATATAACTTATATGATTAGCTAGAAGAGACTATGTAATGTTCAATGAATGAACTCGGGTCTTTCCAATGTGGTTAGTATTTACTCCTTAGGGCAGGGATGGGCAACCTTTTTCTTTGTAAGGGTCACATTTAAAACTTCAGGTTGCACACGAGAAAAAAGAAATATAAATGTGATATACCTGCATTTTTTTGTGATTATAAATTAACATAATTGTACTTAATTTGACTATTTTTTACAATAGAATTTTTGCTGCATACTTCCTTAAGTTGGGAAATTGATATGTTTATTAATATTTTGTACGGCACGGGCCATACAAAATATTAATGCGGAGTGTGGGTTGCCCACCCCTGCCTTGGGGTTGATGATCAAATTATACTATATATCCATAAGTAAATAATGAAAATATTTAGTAAATACATTATGAACAAACACTAGATGGTTTAATTTTATAAATCAACTCAAAGCTGGATGCAAAATACAATATGTAAAGTATTTCCAAATAATTTTTTTTTTTATATATGTTCATGAGGTCAATGGAAAAAAGGTTGGAAACATTTTTTCCAAAGTTAATTCAAAATGATACTTTTAATTTTAATTAAGTTATAATGCCAAAAATTTATTTTTTATTACAGGAAATAAATGAAGCTTATTTATCCTATGTATTTATTCAGATTTCTCTCAGTGTGCTGTACAGATTCTCTTGAAGTATTGAAGGAATCTGTACAGCACACTGAGAGAAATCTGAATGAGGAAAAAATGTTACCCTCATGTTGTAACAAGTCAAAAAATGTTGCATTTCATTCACTTTTCATCCATTTAAGTGTTTCACTTTTCATCCATTTAAGTGTTTGTTGTTGATATCTAGACACTGAAAATAGACTAATAGACAAAGTAAAACAATTATACTTATGTAAGAATAATGTTTTATTTGCACAAAGTTTGACTAGTTTGTGTACATAAATAATACCTATAAAACAGTGCTAAACAATTGAGTATTAAAAAAAATTGCTGATTCCTTTAGCAAAATCCAGAATTTTCTTTTCTAGACATTACAGATATGAAGAAGAAAATTATTAAATTAGTTTCAGTATGTTAAATAAATACATTGTTACACACAATATGCATAATTACACAAGGGATTAAGTAAATAAATAATCATATTTAACAAAGAGAACATTTGGTACAAAATTTTATAAATCAACAATTTAAATCTGAATTCCATCTTAAATTGTTGCACAACAAGCTACTTTTTGAAAGAATAGCTGCCAAAACAAGTTATTTATAAATTTAACATTATTTTATTCATAATTCAGTATAGGTAATTTACTTTGATCACAATACTTTTGATTTGATGAATAATTATAATGAATTTAGCCAACTAAATACGGTTTAGTAAAATATTTATATAAAAATCCAAAAATGTTAACAATAAACATTAATCTATGAGATAATAATTTGGATAGTGTAAAATATTAAAACTAACGTAAGTAAAGTATATTGCAATGCATAAGATATTGCTAAATATGGTGGTGTATAAAGTTAATATCATAAAGTACTCAGCAAATCATTATACATATACAAATATTTAACACCTTATTCTTGCCGAGAAATATAATTTATTTGAACAAACTAACGTTTTCAGCCTGATTCACAGGCCATCTTCAGGTTTAGAATACATTTGAATTAAAATTCCATCAATGGAATACAAAATTTAAATTCAAAATTAAATAAGGTACAATTAAAATAAAATATTAAATAACCAACATAAAACAAAAATAAAATATAAAAAATATATAAAAATGCAACAAATGAATATATAAGTATTAATAAATNAGTAATTGCATTTATTAATACTTATATATTCATTTGTTGCATTTTTATATATTTTTTATATTTTATTTTTGTTTTATGTTGGTTATTTAATATTTTATTTTAATTGTACCTTATTTAATTTTGAATTTAAATTTTGTATTCCATTGATGGAATTTTAATTCAAATGTATTCTAAACCTGAAGATGGCCTGTGAATCAGGCTGAAAACGTTAGTTTGTTCAAATAAATTATATTTCTCGGCAAGAATAAGGTGTTAAGTATTTGTATATGTATAGGTGTATAAAGTTATTCAAAATGCAAACAATAATATAAAATTTTGACAAGATGTAAATATTTTTTCTATAGTTGCCGTGTTGAGCAGTTCTGGTGCCTTTTGCATAACTTGTATCAAAAATTTACATGAGATTGAACATTATATAAAGTTTACTACATCTAACTATGATATACAAGGTTTTGTCAATTCAGTTCTAGGAAAAGTTTGCTACAAATGTTTCAAAAGCTTATAGGAATAAGATTCAACTTTCCGTGACACTTGACCAATCCAATTGATTTTTAAACCTCATCATTAAAACATTTTGGTTTGTAAAGATGGAATAAATAGCAACCACTTAAAATTTCATTATTCCTTATTTGCCAACTAATCTATGCCTAAGTTTTGCATTGTTTCATTAAAAGAACTCACCTAATAAATCTTTGAAACTAAACTACATTTGAACACCCCATTCACAATGGAATTTCATACTACTAAGTGACAAAAAAGGAACTTTTAAATAACATTGCAAAACTTCATACTACTAAGAGTCAGATTTGGAACAAATACTTAACACTTAGTTAACAAATAAGTGAATGCTAATGTAACTCTAACTCTTAAACCTTGGTTGTGAATATGGGCATTTGAAGCAAATATAAAGTCTCTTCTCATATAAGTTTTTGTTATATTCACAGACCTCATGGACTGTCACTTACTAAAAAACATTTGTTTTTTTATTAAGGCCTCTATAGGCACAGAAGATTCAAGATGTTTTTTTAAATCTTAATTTTAGTTACATTAAGAAGAAAAGTTAACATTCACTATGAAAATTATACTCTACCATAAGACACTTAATACTAAATAACAATTCCCAAGTTTAAATTAGCTCTTTAAAGTGATGCAAGACACCATCAGGTCACCAGGTCAGGCAGTGTCAATTCACAATATTGCTTTGTATTATCTCTAATAAACTTTTGGTAAAGATTTTTAATTATAGAATTAAAAACATGCCTTAGAACAGGCAATAAAGTAGAAAAATTATGTAAAGTGCAAAGATATTGTTCAACAATTTTTTTGAGAATTTATACAATTTTTTGTAAAATGGTAGGGTGTATGATTTATCCAAAACAAATTTGGCATACTACCTGTCAAGTCTGGAATGCTTACCTTGCTCAAGTAATGTGACTAATTTCATGAAAAAAAAAAGCTAAAGTAAGATATTTACTGCTAGTCTTGGTTATAGGTTTAAAAATTAAATTAAAAAATAAAAAAGCATCTCCATTCCGAGATTCGATCCAACAACCTCGGGATCTCCACTCTCTTCTCTTCCAAAATAATCAAAAAATTCAAAAAAAAAAAAAAAAACCAAAAAAAAGGGCCAAGAAAAGAAGACGCAAGAGGAGGGGGAGGAGGGCCAAGTGCCAGGGGCAAAAGAGTAGGGGTCAAAGGTCAAGGGGGTAAAGACGCTAAACAAAGCTGCACTTTGTCACTTAAACCAATAGCTTAAACTAAGCTATTGGTTTATTAAGCAGCTTTTCATCTTTGATTTAAATTGAAACAATGCAAAGAATGTCTTACTTAAAATAAAAATACTAAGGGGAGAAAAATCTGAAACTTGTAATGTATTTTATAAATATTGATTGAATATCGTCATATTGTTTTGTACATACCCTTAACAAATAGAGGAAGATAAACATGGAAGATATGTACAGTACACGTGGGAAAAAATTTAAGGAAACCAATCTTAAACAATTCATTAGACTATAAAAATAATAGTGAATGCTGAATTAAATCCAAAATATATATAAACACACTTATTCATATTCTTATGTAGATGGTGTGATCGTAGCTACCATTTTTGATGATTAATATCTTATGATTGTTTAGATCCTCACACTTAAAATTCTGGACAGGAGATTCTGTTTTGGTTTCTTGGCAAAAAAAGCTGCTTCGGCATCTTCGTTGGGAAAACGATTTAAGTAGATGTTCAAATGGTTTTCTTTAAACTAAAATTGAGAAAATTATAATGTTAGAATGATTATAGGTAAGTTTAATGAATCTTGTTTAATTTAAATTCTCATTATCAACTCTTCTGTTATTTTTGTACAAAAAAAATATATTATTTTAATTTTGAATCTTATTAGGAATTGTCACAAACAACTATATATTAAGCAACAAACCTGTTTTATTTTTCTTCTTTTTTCTTTGTCCGACATGTTAGGATTACTGATAAGATTTTCCAGGAGGTTGGCCAGAGCTTGTTGGGACAATATGTTCTTTTGTTCTTCGTACTGTGGTAACGATACCTGTTCACAATAAGCAAGGCTACAAGAATCGTCCACTGTGTATTTGATCTGAAACGGAGCCACGAGGGCGGCAAATGTCAGCGATAGCAGAGAGAGTGTGATCCAGCGTGCAGTGGCAGTGAAAAGAAAGGAATAACCAAAATACCGCATTCCCATTAAACCAGAGACAAGAAAGAAGTAAAGGTTTGCTCAGACCAAATATATAAGCTCTTGGCAACAATAAGCATGCATGTAAAATGATCAAATTATCACATAAAGAATAATAAATTATAAATATGCCAAGCCAATTAAGTTGTAATGTTGAAAAGTGGGTAAAAATTTTCCAATACAAGAAACTGTATAACTTTAACAGTTATCTCTATCGTCAATTTCTCCATTTTTATATAGGTCAAATGGCATGTATTAAACAGTTAAAATTCAAACATCTACAACTTTTAACGTCTTTTTCTGTTTTAATCCCTGCAAGATAATAGAAACATTACTTTTATAAAAGAAATTATGAAGGCCGCAGGCCAGATATGAAGCCTTAATGAGCCGTCCATTTTTATATTAAAATAAAAATTATATTTAACAATATTATGGCAAACACAAATTTGAATCATCCAAAAACCAATTAGTGATTCATAAAATAATTATATATGTTAAATGTTATCATTAAATTTTCATTTAATGATAAAATTGTTTGTTCAAATTTTGGCATTTCTATTATAAGTATATATGTAAACTAGTAAAATTTTTTATCATCAAATCTGGAATCACAATGTGATAATTTCCAGAGTTTGCTGTAAGAAATGATTAGTCTAAAACAACACTTGCTTTGTCAAACCCCTTTATTTCATAAACTGCCATTCAACAGCCTTAGATGCAGCCTAAACTTTGTGTTGTTGTTGTGAGAGCGGGCAGACATTATATAATAGTTATAGACATTTCATTTAAAACTTGATAAAAGGCACTTATTTATAATTTCACTAGCTCTTGTGTGTATTGACATTAATTGAAAATTTTGTCAAAACCCAAGTATTTTGTCAATAAAAATTTAGAATTAGCTAACACAATGCATTTGAATATAAATTTCTGAAAGAAAAATCAACAGTAATTACTGATATGCAAAGATCATGAAATAGGAGAATCATCATAAAATAAGATCTTGCATTTTTAAATTGCAGTATATTTTGGTTTACCAAATATTAATGAATATTATAGGAGCCTCTTGTGGCTCCTATAAGCCACAAGATAAATGGTTAATGCTACTATTAGGAGCTTAATACAAGTATATATTGTAAAAATGCTCCTATCAGTGAATTTGCCTCCCACTCTGACTCCACAGCTCTTGTTCATACTCCTATAAATTAATGTTATTTTTATTAACAGAAAACAATCTTTAATACCGCTTTTTATTCATAACAAAATTTTACATATTTTGTTTGTTCCAAAAGTGGCAAAAGAGGACCACTCTATTCCTAGACCCCGTATAAACTCTCGATGGCAAGTTGACAAGATATCTTAGTCATAAAATCTTTCTCGTGATTGTTTTATTTCAGTTTTATTGCAAAAATATCTTGTCAAAATTGATGAGAACAGTGCAAAATTCTATATTAAAGAGGGGATAAATGATCCCATAACATGGCTATGGTTATTGAATGAGAACTAATGAAACAAAGATATTTGACAAGATGAGCATTATTTTGGATCAATCGGTTCTTATAGCAAATTTGGTAGATTTTATATAAAAATATAAATAATTTACCAATTCTGTAGGATTTTGATTATACAATATAAAAGCCATTGTTATATTGTGATTAATATCAATGTTTAAAATCAGTTTTCCAATTTATTTACTGCTTTACGAAAACATTTTCATTTGAATATTGATCTCTCACTAATTTTTTTTTTTTTTTTTTTGAAGGAAAAATAGTTAAAACTGTTGATAATTTTTTGTCACTTTCAGTTTTATGTCTAAGAAAGGTTTTTAAAGTTAAAACTGAATTTAATTATTCACTTATATCTGTGGAATGAGCATACCCTCACCATTAAATTCTATTTAAACAAGAAACATTTGAAAAATCCAAACAGTCATATAGCAACTACAAGTTTTGTTAGAATCATCTAATCCCATTCATTTAAAATCAACCTATAAATATAAGTATTGTGTTAATATAAATATTAGTATAATTGAGAAAATAAACCATGCAACTACAAGCTTTAAAATTATAAATAATTGATATTACAGGGATAATTAAACAAAAGTTACATCATTAAATTCCTAGGAATTATAACAATGTTGAGAAATATCTCAATTTGTTTATTCATTCTATTTTATAAATCTAGACTTTCTAAAATTTGTCTAAGTCTACATTTTTGGACACATTTGTGAGGTCCCGGATGGACATCAATTTTTGTTTTGAATGATGAAAAGCTGGTGAGTTAGTTAAGCTCTCTCTTTTCAAAATTAAACAAAGCAGACTTAAAATCTAGCTTAAACAATAAAAGTTCTTTCCAACAAAATGGAAAACAAAGGGTTTGTTTGAAATTGTGTGAAAGAAATTGTGAGGGGAATATCAAAGTTGAGGAAATTGTAGATGAACGGGAATCAGGTTTAATTGCAAAAATCAACCTCTTCCTTGCCCTGAAAGGCTTCGAATTGTCACCAGGTGATGAGAAGAGACCAATTGGAACATGAATTGAGAGAGAAAACTGATAAAATCCCGTGTTTCAAGGACACAATGTTCTTTTGTTCAAGACTGCTAGTGGCTTTTCACAGCAAAACAAACAGTTTTTCTATCTCTCTCCGAGATACATGGCAGTCTTTTTGTTGCTTGCGTTGCTCTCCTGGCAGTTTCTCACCCTTTCAGATTCTTCCTTACCACAGGAACTTCTCTGCAAGGTGTTACTATGCACCCCGGAGCCAACAAGTCTGCAGACACCCAGCAAGAAAACGAGGGCGACTCTTTGGAATTTGAGACTTTACTGAACTCTCTCCTAGAAATTTGTCAATGGAGATTGAGAAACGTAAGAAAACTTTTAAAATTTTATTAAATGGAAATAGATGAAAAACTTGTCTCATGCCCACTCATGATTATCTTGACCTCCTTAACTGTCCTGATGTCCTGATACATTATTAAGTATGTTAAAAACCAAATTTTTGTGATTACTAATAGCAATATTATAATAATTTTTTTCAAGAACCAAGTCTACATTTTTTGGACATACCTTATTCAGAAATCCATTCTGATCTGAATCTTCTGAACTTACAGTGAAGTAAATACTTTGCAAGTTTTCACAGAGTAAGTACTCTGTGATTCAGATCTTAGAACATTTTTTAAACCTGTAAGAAATTTTTGAAATATTCATCATCATTTGAAGAATGTTATTATTTGGATAGCAGACAATCTCTGTAGTTTGATTACCTACACCTACTAGAAGAAAATGTTCGTAGCTAGTTTGGATTAGCAGAATCTTAACAATGGAAATTTGAAGAGAGAGAAAAAAAAAAAAAGATTTAGATTTATGATTTTTGATTTTATGCATCCAAAGATGCAACAACCCACTGGCCAAACTATAAACAGCATTGATGCCAACCAAACTCAAAGATTTTGTTACAGGGCATATTATGCAAGGGTAATAAGGTCCATTTTTCTAGAAACACACCTGTGTATAATTAGGTGATTTATCGTATTTTCAGTTTAACACACTATTGTTATATAATATATATATATATGTATGCATATCATTGGTTAACTTGTTATTCAGTTATAATAAAGTTTGATTTTATTGTGAATTTTGATGGGATTTGTTATAGGAATACAGATGCAATGACTTGTCTGTTCTGTACAATTTTTTATAAGGGAAATAACTATTAAACAAAATACAAAAACGTTTAGAAATATCTTATAATAATGAAGGAAAATTTTACAATTTTAAAGCAAAATCTTAATTATAAATGATTATATAGAGTGCTATGTGCAATGAGAAACAAGATATAACTATAATACAAGCAGTAGCTAAATTCCATCACCATTCTACACACAAACAGAGAAGACATTTTAAGAAACAAAGAAGACTATATAACATTATTTTAAACAATTTAAAATATAAATCTGAGAATTAACTTTATATGTAAATATAATTTAATAATATAAATTTCAATGTTTATTATTAATTTTAAAAGAAATTTAATAATCATTTACAGATATTTACAATGCAAATATGTAATGACTAAGTTATTTCTGAAATGCTGTTAATTTTGAATCACTGATTGACAAAACATAAACAGTGACATTCCAGCAACATGTTAGAACACATTTTTGAAGCAAAACAATCCATTAACAGCCAGGAAAGTAAAAAGATGGGCATAAAAGAAATAAAGCATATATTAATAGACTTCTCAACTGCAATACAAAGTAATATAACTGATCAACTGGTCTCTCGGTATCACTGAACAAATATCTGAGTCTTAACAGTGGCTCAGTGATAGTGGTGAGAAAGGAAGTTTGCAAATGTGAGTCTCCAGACAGGGTCTGAACCCCTGAACAAATCTGCTTAAAAGTGTTTATTATATAAAGGAATGCTGAAAAATAAATATGCCACAAAGCTGTAAAATAAATGATGCCTGAGTAAGATTCAAGCTTAGGTGTTGGAATTTGATGAATGTCAGGCCAGGAGATCAAACTTTGACTCTAAGTTTTGTCATTTCTACAAGCACTAAACAAATTGGAGAAACAAAAAAATCTTCGGTGAAAGGAAAAATGCTGCATTGTCATAGTTAAAATTTTTGAATGTCAGAAGAAAAACATCGTGGTCTAAGATACAAGCAAAAGTCTCAAAATTCACCAAACTCCATTTGGTCACAGTCAAAGACTGTGTCAAGTTATATTGAAGATCAACCTTTCTCACTACCCAATTTGACCTATTTTCACCTGGAGACAAGGAACCAATTAGGAGATGATGAGAAAGAGTCAGAACCAATCAAAATAATTGTTTTGGAAACAAATTGTCTAAAATCACCGAATTTCAAGAACAGAGGCAGATTTACATTTCCTAACTTAACATCAGTCCTATCTCTCTCTCCTTTTGTGGTTGTGTGAACTGTTACTGTCACCATTAATCTGCTAGCATCTCTGTCCCAATATACTATCTCTATCCAAATTCTGGTCAGCCATCCTTTCACTTCTGAAATTCATTGAAAACACTGTCTCAGAGTTGTTGATTTGACAAGGGAATATCTGTGACTTGATCTCATCTTTTCCTTTGATAAGAAGTCTACCACAGAATTTGATATAATTTCTGAATGAATTCAGAATTTGAATAAGATTCTAATTTGTTTCTAAATAAATGGATTCAATTGTAAAGATGCTTCTCATCAGTGTATATTACATCCACATACCTCCCCACACTGCTTTTTCCATTCTGAATTCAATCCCCCTTACTGGCAACATCACAAAAAATTGAGAAGGAACACCCATTGATCCAAAAGTTTTGGTTTTTGGTTTAATCAGCAAAATAATTAGATTCAAATTTAATTGCAAGTTGGTCAAAAATGCCAAAGTTTGTTTGTTATCTAATTTTCTATTATTGAAAGCAATAAAAATGCGTTTCCAGGAAATTCAACAAGCACATTCTCATGCAGAAAATTCAAATACATGATAACTTTGGATGAAGATTTGACATATTTATCTATCTAGTAGTGTAGCTAGGGGAGGGTGGTCCATCCCAGGTGGCACTTTTGGTCTACTGTAACAAAAAGAAAAGTTTTTGTAGGGATAATAGAAGGATACAAGATGCCAGACAATTTTATTTTTTCATAAAAATACCAATTAAGTGCTTAGTCATGATTAATAACAACACTATCTTAAATTTTTCACATTTTTTGATGTGTATTAAGTTGTGCTTTTCTTGGAGACAGCAAAGTCAAGGAACGTCCCAGGTGACACAAACTAGCTATGCCATTGTATTTATCTAACAAAGGTGGAAGATTGACTCGTTATAGAAAAAAGAAAAGCATGCACCTGAGAACGGGCTCAATTTTGCCACAAGCATCTAAAAAGGATTCATGACAGGTGAAATGGCAATCTTACTACTCACGAAGTAAATGACAACACAGATAAATAGCCAGTGCTATCATGTCAATGTATTGCAGCAAGTTTGTGGATGAAACTTCTTACGTCAACAATTATATGGATTTAAGAATCTAGGGAAAGATGATGTTGCTTAGTAAATAAAATGCCATGTCACTCATATTGAAAATATGAAACACATTAAGAATTAATTTTGTCTGCAATTTTATTAAACTTTGTTACATTTTTGCATTGTGATTCTCTGTATTATTATAAATTTATTAATAATTTTAAATAAATCTTAAAATTAATTCTTCCAGCAGTATCATTACATTTATACAATTTTGAACTATCATCATCTACTAGGACTTCCTTATAGTAATAGGACTCATTCTACTGGTGTACCTGGTAAAACAGGTTAAAATAAAAAAAGCCCGTTTTAATTTTTGACTACTGTTTCTGCTTTATGTTTAGTTGATTATACCAGTACAATAAGTGCCATTAGTGTAAGGAAGTCCTAATAAATGATAATAGTTGAAAATAATATTAAGGGCACAGAGACATAAGTATCTAAAATAATTCAAGAAATCACAATGGAAATCCTAAATTTCTCTTATGTCAGTTGTCAATGATATCTAAAATTTAAGAAATAATATATCTTGATAACATTAATTATTCTGAATTAATTTAGTAAATTTATTTGTAAACTGATCTAAATATTTCTTAATAAAATAATTAAATTTCAAAAAAGTCTGAATATTTCAGGAACTTATAAAATTTATACTTTAAACCGTGCACATTTAAGAACTTAAATTAAAAAATACAGAATTAAAATCATCATAAACTTTTTTAAAAATATAAAAGAAAAAATTATTTACATATCAATTATTTTATAAATAAAATAAAATCAGTCTTACTCTTCCTCGTTGCATTTCAGTTAACTTAAGGGCAATATCATCTTTCAGAGCAGATGAAATTTGGAAAACTATTTCACATTCATCCAGTAAGAAAGATATTAATGTTAAGGCTTGAATTTCATTGTAATCGATTTCATTCTCGGCGCATATTATGCAACGAGTAAAGGTGCTCAGTAACTAAAAATAAATAAATCAATCAATTTAGCACATAACAAGAATCTTTATATACAGTAAAAACCAGTCTATAATGGGGAAAAAAAAAATTGGTATAGTGTGATTCCAGTTTACTCAAGTTTTACTGTATTTGAAAATTTTTTAAATATGTTTTAATGATTTATTTTTGAAAAATGCTTTTACACTACAGGACAATCTGCTGTATTTTGAATCTTTATATTTAAATTTTAAGTTATATTGTTATATTATTAAAAATACAGGTTTCATATAATTATAACACACGCTCTCTCTCTCATGCACACACACTCAACTGAATTTATTTTAAAAATTTAATTGAATTTTCATGTTAAACTCTTCTGTGGGGGAAAAACAAAAATAAAGGATATTTAATAGTTTGGAAATTATACATAAGGAAGAAAAATTATGTGAAGTATATCTTTTATGAAGTCAAAATGAATGAAATACTTAAATTATTGAGAAAGATAAATTAAAAAATAAACTAGACGTTGACATTAAACAACAAAGTCTTCTTAAGTCCCCTTCTCACATCTTATGAAATAACAGTCTTATAGAGGAGTTGACCTTCATTTAGAGGCTACTCATCTGCATAAATATGCAAAAGTTATAAAAAAATTCCTTCTGGTGATGGCACAAACAAAAAATATTACATACATTTGATAAAACTGCCAAGATAATTAATATTTATCAAATATTTGTATTTGTAATTGTATTGTAAGACATAGATGATCAATTATTTTCTTATTTATTTTCTAATATCTTTGAAACAGATGCTCACAATAAAAATGCCAACATATTTGATAAATAATAATTCAATAAACAGCAGTATAACCCATAAATTCTGCTGCTCCACATTTTTTATTTTTCATTCAAACTCAAATAAAATTTAATATGTAGAAATTTAATAATTACTATATATATTACTAGCTGGCTGTTACCTGCAACTTTGGACGTGCAGATTTTTCCAGCAAATCCCATTTATATTCAGTATTTCAACAACCATAGTAATTGTTATATAACACCTACTGCTGAGAATGATGAGAATTGCTGAGAATTTTCAATTTGATCAATTTTCTGGAATGTTTACAGTACAATCATTCTATAATCGAACCAATATGCAATAACAAATTTGAATTTAAAACGGTTCAAACATTTAGTTAAAAAATCGAAATATATAAAAATATTTATAACAATGTCTGAAATGTTATCAATTTAATACACCTAAGTACTCAATGAAGACTAAACATAGTTGAAAACAAAAAATCG